GGGATGGCCGTGCAAAGTCACTTAGGGGACATTTGGTGGTATGCACCACCCACGCTCCTGTTTGTAACCCCAGTAAGTGGTCCAGTCATGTTAGAAGATGCTGGTTCGTACCCATCCTCCCCAGCCGCTAGCTCTTACCATAATTCACTCATCTTCTGTGGTTGTCTTTGAGTTTCTCTAAGATTTGTGTAGGAAACAAATCTTTACTGGAGACCTTAGGATTCGGGGTGTGCTATGTTACGCAAGCAGGGCCCAAAGGATCCCACATACGGGCTGCTAGAGGTGGGGGGGATGAAAACTTTACCCCCAACACAAGAAAGACAGCCATCTGCCGCTCCCTCAGCTGTCCGCGGTGTGGCGTCTCCAAAACCGAGTTTCGCTGTTGTATGGAACTATAACATAAGTTACAGACTTTAACATAAGCGAAGCAGGCCTTTGCTATCGGCATAGCCCACCTTCTGGGTGGGGAATACGTGTAGCTCTGGCCTGGAAGCCAGCACGGTTTATGTCCTCACCAGTAAATCTGTTTCCTGGTAGTGTCTTCCCTGTCATGTGCCTCCTTCCATCACAAGCTGATTAACTCCAGTTGGCCCCAGTTTGCTCAGTATGTAGCTAGCTGGTCCCCACTCCCAGGTGGGATTCCCGCAGGCAGGCCTCTCATCGCATGGCACCAGCTCAGACGAAGGTTTCTGCGGAAGGTGAGCAGCAGATCCAAGCCCCCTGGCCACCCTCCCCCGCTATCCCTGTGTGCCTACAGACATCAAACCCTAGAACAGATGTGCCGTGAAAGCACATCTGTAGCAAAGAAGTACAAACACGTACACCCCCCACCATCCCCCTCTCCGGTTTGTCTTTGGAACCAGATGTCTGAGAAGTTCCCTCGAGCAAAGGGCTGCCACAGATAATACACTCATTTACCACTCAGGAAACACACTCCTGGCATTGAAAAGTGATGACATTAAATTGAACCAGCTCCCAGTACTGCTCTGAATTAATCTCAGTGTGTCTGTGGCGCACAGAGGGCCATACACAGAAAACAAACTCAGTAACCAAGAGGCATTCCAGGCCCTGCGAGAATAGTCAGTCTTGCGTTCTTTCCGAACTGGTCTCACTTTGTGATAAGTCTCTGTGTTCCATTGGTTTAGTCTCACAAACCCCAGTGGATAACATTTACATCAGATTTGGAAAAAAACAATAGAGTCCAAAAAGAAGTGTCTGTTGAGCTCCAGTAATCAGTGGAGGGTAGCATAAAGGGCCCCAAGTTTAACAATCTGCAGGTTCTTGAGACAATACACCATTTGGGAATGACTTAAGAAAGGAGGCAGTTCCTCCAGGAACCCCGGAAGTGGCTGCTGCAAGCACCTGGTTTGCTCTCAACTTTCCGCCAAGCTCATGGCAGCCAGCTCACCTGGGAACTCTGGGCTATCTTTGAAAAGACTGGGGTAATTGCCTATGGTGGCGCATGTCTGCAACCCTAGCACTCAGAAGGCGGAAGGCAGGCCGACTGTGGCTTCAAGGTCAGCTTGGGTTCTATATAGTAAGAACTTAATCTAAACGAAACACAGGCTGAGACAGTTGGGTATGGTGGCAGTGTATGTATGTGTTCTCAGAAAGCTGAGGCAGGAGGATTATGACTTCCTGGCAAGCCTGGACTACTTTAAAGAGAAAGACTAGGAAAAGAAGCAGGAGAAGGAGAAGGAGGAAGGGGAGGAGGAGGACACGAAGGTTGGACTAGGGAATCTTAGTCCCCTTCCTGCTTTGCAATGCTGTGATTCTTTCAGAACTATACTCCTGCTCCTTCATCTCTGACTTCAGGCTGAGCCTGTGTAGTAGGAGCAGGAGTCCTGCCTGCTTTGTAGCCATGCAACCTGCTGAGCCTGTAGTCCCTATGGGAAAGGGACACACGGATTTAAGGATGGTGGTACCCAAAGAAAAACATTCTGTGAACAATGACGAGTTGGTGTCACACCCAGGGCAATCCATACTGGTAATGTACACCCACGCCATCACATATCCACCCCCTTCCCTGACTCAGGACCTAAAATAAGGACAGAGACCAGAAGCAAGATTCGTGGCCATCCTTCTGTGATTCTCCCCGGGGAACCCTGACCCGTCAATGAGAACACTGTGCTGACTCACTCAGTCCATCATCAGCCTTACACACTTTGTAAACAGCCACTGCACGTGAAATTAACCAGGGGCTACTCAAGAGAAAACTCTCCCAAGTCCCGTTTGTGCCCGTGCCAAGAGTTTTACGTGATCCATGGCCCACAGTCTGCGACACACACTCAATTATTTTCAGATTAATCAATGAGTAAAGAAGCAGCCACAGTGAGGAAAACGTGTGTATTTCACAGCCGTTATAAAAGTACATAGATTCGGTAATGGTGACATAAATATGGTCAGTCCTTTCTCACGACCAAGCCTTCCTCCTGGACTTTACACAGGGACAGTTTGGTTGTTCCCACCAGGAGCTGCAGGCTGACTGAAATCACAGGCAAGAACTCTCGAAGGACAGTCATGGGTCAACAGACAACACACTGCACTTAACAAAAGGGCAGTCAGGGCCTCCACATACACAGGACAAAGCAGTAAAGAAGCTACCATTTCTTATTTCACCCAGTTTCGTGGACTTGTCTGTCAGGTGTACACACCCCAGAGCACAGACTCACGCCTTGCTCCTCTTACTTTGCCTCTTACTGGGTTCATTATACACCTGAGTTCCCAGTCTGTCACCAGCGGCAACACGGGCAGCTAGTGGTGCGTCCGACACTGTTCTTGAAGAGTGTGAAGGATGGGACGCTCTCTCTCTCACACACACACACATACACACACATGCTCTCCCTCTCTCTCTCACACACACATACACACACATACACACACATGCTCTCCCTCTCACACACACACATACACACACGCTCTCTCTCTCACACAAGCTCTCTCTCTCTCACACACACACACATACACACACGCTCTCTCTCTCACACAAGCTCTCTCACACACACACACATACATACACATGCTCTCTCTCTCTCTCTCTCTCTCTCTCTCTCTCTCTGTCTCACACACACACACGTGAGGAAAGCAAACAACCAGAAAAAGACATAAGAGGTTGGGGGGGGGGGCAGGGCACACAGGTATACATCCTACCAACTTGCAGAGTGAGATGGTTACAGTTGGTAGTTATCTTTGAAAAAGGATTCTTCGCCCATCAAAATGCAAACATATCACGCCAATACAGCATCTGTAGGTGAATTCGTCTCTTCTCTCTGTTTAGAGTTCTATTTCCAATATTGATCCCCTGGACGCTGAGCTGAAGGTATACTGAATAACAATGCCAGCTGCTGGTAGGAGCCTGGCCCCCTGCTAATGAGCCCTAGGGAGGGGCGAGTCCCTCCCTAGGATTAAGCAGCCCAGGTCTTACCAAGTTCAGCCAAGACTAGAGCATCTGGCTCCCAGGGTCAGTCAAATGTGTGTCCCCTTCTTGCCCTATCAGAGCTGTGAGAGGATCAAAGGAAGCCACTGCTGGCAGATGAGAGACGGTGATGCTCTATCTCATCCCTCACTGGCAAAGGCTGGCTTTGTAGTTTTAAAGAAATTAGCCCACTTTAGCATCAACGGACCAAGAAGATGGGCCTGGCTTCCTGGCCACAGTTGTGCGCTCAGATCACACCTGAAACGATCAAAGATGGAAGTTTCCAACCGTGACCCAACTTGTGCCGGCCGATTCTTCCCTTCCTTACAATGCTGCTCGTGACTGAGAGGTCTCCTGCTCAGTACCAGGGTCCAGGATCCACAGAGAGACAGTCCCCCCACCAAGTGCCAGCCGGACATGATTAGACAACACCAGATTCCACAAAAGACACGAGGGGTGTCACAGTCACAAAACCAGAAACGCATCTTTGGTTCAATCCTGGAGGGGAAAGGTGTAGAACGCAACGTGGACTGAAAGCCTGTTTGGAGGACACTGTCCATGAACTGCTCCTAGGGGACAAGCCTGTCCCCATCTCCCGGCACAGCTAAGCTCCAACCTCAGCAGAAAAAAAAAAAAAAAATGGTAATGCACAGCAAATGCCTCCTTCTAGCTTCCACGCTCTCTCCAGAACCTGTTCTGTGCCTTCTGCTGCTGCCTCAATATAAGCTCAGGATGGATAGGCATGCAGGCCAATGTGGTCCAATGTTACTACCATCACCACCCAGGCCAGCCTTTCGGCTGCCTGAGCTGCATCCTCTCAGAAAAAAAACATGAATTTGGTAGAGGTACTTCCCATCTGGCCATCTAGGCTTTTCAAAATTGCTATTTTGAGCCAGACACAGGGGTATACACTCGTGATCCCAGCATTTTGGAAGCCGAGGCAGGAGGATGATGAGTTTGAAGATGAGTTTGAAGCCAGCCTGGGTTACTTAGTGAGACCTTTTCTCAAAAAAAAACGGGGGAAAAAAAAGTTACTTCAATTTAATAGCATCGTATAAAGAAAGTTTTCTTTGGACAAGTTCATTCAATCCTTAGCCAGTTTCAATTTTTAAAAAAAAGGAAAAAAGAAAGACCAGACAAACTGCATGGGAATGTTTCCTTTAGTCTTCATGTTCTGTCTGGGTCCCCGCTGTTGGGTTCCATCTCTGTGTGGGGCTCTGTCTAATCTTCCTCTGGGGCTCCTGGGGTCTGACCCTGACTCATCACTCCTGCGCTTACTGTTTGGGTAAGGAGGGCCGCTTCCCTCTGTGGAGGAATCTAGGCTGGGTGAACACCCCTGCAGTGGTATGGTCCCTGTGAGGCTGTGACTGGACACTGAACGCAGCAGTCTGTGAGAGGCACACATGGAGCAGAGGAAGCAAGGCCTGGAAATCTGCGTGGTCCAACAGACGGAGGTGTGGTTTCCAGCTCGGAGATACTGGAGAGGGCTAGGTGAGGGGTTGTGGGAAAGAGGGTCCCTACAGCCGGCCCTCCTGACCCTCAGCATCTCAGAGGATCCTAAGTGAGGCTGGGTGTGTGGGCTCCAAGTTTCAGCTATCCGAGGGTTCTCTTGTGAGGTTGACTGCTCCTGCCCTGATGTATGTGTGGCCCTCTGTCCGTTGCTGTCCTTACAGAGACCCAGTATCTCGCCATCCCAGGTTAACACTGGCTCTTGACACCATCGGCCATGTCAAAGGAGAGGCTGGAGGGGGCTGTGGGCTGCAATGGGGACATGCTGGCCTCCAGGGACCTCTCTGAGGAAGGCTGCAGGCTCTGGTGCCGCTTCCTCAGCATCTGTCCAATGCCCATCATGGGGAACCTTCCCCTGCTCTTCACACAGGTGGGGCTCCCCAGAGGCTGTGTGAGGCCATTGCTGGGAACGGGAGGAGGGGAACACACACCCTCCTCTTTCGGGGAGCTGTTCTTATCTTCGTGGCCGAAAGAGACCAGCGTGGAATGCAGTGGAGTTTGGAGAGGCGATGTGCTTCCAGACAGCAGGCCCGGAGAGAGTGTCCTCTCACTGGAATTCCTACGAGCCAAGCTCACAGGTGAGTTCAGGACCCTATAGTGGTGGGAAGGGGACAGCAGCTCTATGTGGTCCTCGCGATCCACGGACTCGAAGGAGCGGACCATATCCAGCAGCAGGGGCTCTTCCTTGGGGAGGGTGCTGGCACTTCCCGGCCCTGGCTGGTGTGGCTCTAGTTTCTTTACAATCCTGGGTGTCCTGGGAGGTGGGACAGGGATGAACTCCATGGAAGAAGAAGCCACGCAATTGGAATCGGAAGTTTTGCGGAAAAGATTGCGGCAGCCGAAGGAATCTACGCACCAAGAAAACAAGACCGTGAGCGTAGGTTTGGAAAGAGCCGCACACAGCCATTCAGCTTAGGCTGTTCCCCGACTTAACGGAGACAGAGACCTGGGTCGAAGCAGGGGAAGCGTCAAGCAAAGCTCCCGAGGTCCCAGCAGGAGCCCCAGAAGCCCTTCTAGGGTGCAGAGGGCTAACATCTACTCCGCTTTGATAAATGAAAATTCCTGAAGATGCCTTTGAACAAAGCGGTTTACCTGCTCAACTGGGCATCCTGCATACCTGACTCTGGTCCTATGTCCTAATCTCCTTTTGAGATACCATCTACCCTTGCCTCTGGTCCCACAATACCACGTAGCCAAATATCTGCTCCTATGTGCCATAAACCCCCAGACTCTTATACCACAATTATCTACCCCATTTCTATTCCCCCATGTCACATGCCCCAGGCTCTGCCCATGTCACACGCCCCAGGCTCTGCCCATGTCATATGCTCCAGCCTCTGTCCCCCATGTCCCACACCCCAGCCTCTGTCCCCCATGTCCCACGCCCCAGCCTCTGTCCCCCATGTCCCACGCCCCAGGCTCTGTCCCCCATGTCCCACGCCCCAGGCTCTGCCCATGTCACACACCCCAGCCTCTGCTCCAACAACACTTTCTGCCCTAATTCCTGCCTCTGTGGTTAAGCCTACAGACCTAGCTCCACACACCCCGAGGTCTTGCTGCCACACCTCAGTGTCCCCCTTCGCCACTATATACCCGCAACACTGCGTACCCTTAATCTGTTTCCATTAGACCACGTGCCCGCATCTGTCTCCTCAATTTCTGCACGGGTGGTCAACACCCCACTGTTTGGCCCCCAAGTCCCCTTGCCTTAGATGTGATAATGATACCTCCCCAAAGGCATAACTGATGGGAGAAGTCATTGTGTAAGTATGTTTCTCATACTGGTTAATGAATAAAGCACTGTTGGCTAATAGGAAAGGAAGACAGGAGGGACTAGGAGACAAGGAGGAAAGAGGAAGTAGGAAGGAGGGAGCCAAGATGGAGAGACTGGGGAGACGAGACGCCTGCCCCTTTCCCCGGTAAGAAGACCACGTGGAAATACATAGAATTGGGTTAAGACAGAGCTAGCTGATAAGAAACTAGTAACGGGCCAACAGAGTTATATCAAATACAGAGCCTCAGTGCATTATTTGGGGCTGGCGCGGCGGCGGGACAAGACCAGCAGCGGCAGGCGGAAAAAACGTACACCTTACACATAACACTATGTCCCGAGCCTACACAGCCACCCACATGGGGCAGGACCGTGTTGTGGCCCACCTTTGTCCGGGAAGCCTGCCTTGGAGGCCTTGCGGTCTTTGAGGAGGGCTTTGGTGCTCTGGATCTGCGTGATGAGCGAGGCTGAGGGCTGTTTGTGAGAGGGTAGGCTCTTGTCCAACTTCTTGGAAAATGGACGATGAAGAAAATCGCCCTTTTTCTCTTGTTCTTTGGGCTTTTTATCCTTCAAATCAAAAGTGAAGAGACATAGTCAGACACCCACAAGGACATACTTTCAGATTCTTCTCTGAAAGCCCACCCAGATGGAAGAGGGTGACTCAGCTTTTCCATGTTGCATACTTTGCAGTGTGTGAATTAAGTGGGGTGCGGGCTAAGGTCTAGCCCACGCTCCAGGAGGCCAGCTCCCTCTGCCCAGAGCAAATAAACTTTGACTCTCTCTAGCTCACTTGCAATGTACTGCCCACATGCCCCAGAGTTGTCAAGGCCACCCTATATGTTCAGGCATTCTGGAAAAATCTAAAGGAACTAAGCAACAAACAATTCAGAGCTCTAAAGAACCACTGTGTGCATATGGAGTATGGCCCTAGTTAGGCCTGGGGCACAGACCTGTAACCTCAAGGAGAGCTCAAGTTCAAAGCCAGCCTTATCTACCCAGTGACACCTGGCTGTGGTTAAAAAGCTTGCTCCTGGGGTGTCTATGAGGGCAATCCCTGAGATCCTTAGCTAATGAGAACCCTGATCCTGTCTATGTATCTGCTAGTGGCCTCAAAATCGGAACAGAAGGTTAGGGGAGAGGGAACGCTTAGGGAGTGGGACTTGGCTGGGTGTGTGTCTGGGTGTGTGTTACTGGCCTCTTCCTGTCACTCCATTTGTTTCCAATCCACCATGATATCAACAGCTCTGCTATGCCCTTACCTCTATGGCCTTAAACCTCTGAAATCAGAAGCAAAATAAGTTGTCCTATAAGTTGTTTTTCTCAGGCAGTTAGCACACACACACACACACACACACACACACACACACAAAGAAAAGACCCTGTCTAAAAAATACCAAATCTGTTCATATATCCATCCATCCATCCATCCATCCATCCCCAAGTGGTACCCTCAGACCCCAACTGCAATGAAGGCTTTGCCAACAGAGAGATGGCTGCTTTCATTTAAGACCCAGTGTGTTTAGTCCAAACTCCATAGAGCCCTGAGAAGTTGTGTTAGTGTGTAACCCTTTTTACCATCTAAGCGTGGGAGCATTTAAACAGAGATCTAAACCTCACATGTTTGGCTGCCATTTTTTTTTTCTTTTCTGTAGAGTTAATCTTTATGGAACCAGATCATAATCCCTCTAATGGAAATGGCCTTGACTGTTTGATTTGCCTTCAACCCCACAGCATCTGGCATCAAGCCAGGTCCTTAGAAACAGCAGCTATTTGGAGGGAGAGAGGACCAGTGGAAACTGAACTGAATTAAAATTAATTGAGTTCAAGTTTTTGGGAATGGTGAGGCCACTAAGCAGCTGCAGGAGAAATCGTTTCTCTGGCCCTGACGACTACACCAACACTTACTGCTAAGCACAGGCAAGGCATCCCTGACCACACACTGGCTTAGGGGAAAAGGCAGCTTTCCACAGTTTTTTGCCTTCAAGGTGCAGAGGAGTACAATTCGAGGGAGCGTATCAATTTTTCATTTATGTGCTGAAGAGCTCTGTGAGGAAGCATCTCTTTGCCCTTCTCACCGAGGATGCCCACACCTTTGTAGATAAGACCCTTCGCCAGTGATGGGGAAGTGAGACCCACGGAGAGCCTTCTTCCACAGCTGCCGCTGCCATTCCTAAGGTCACGGGGAGCTGTGATGAGCAAAGAGCCTGGGAGGGCCCAACGGTTAACCCAGGAACAGACAGAAAACAGATCTCCACAGTCCTCAAGTCAGCACCGTGAACTGCCAACTCCGTGTGGCCTGGGTTATGGCCAGGAGGTGGCAGCTGGGGAGACTTATCACAGGAGGAGGAGACTCCTAAAAGGAAGGCCTCACTTCTGCCTCTCAGCTGTGCTTCCTAACACATGGTACCATCTTCCATGGTGGTGTGATGTGGCAGGAAGGCCCTCCTCCCCGGATGTTGCCATCAAGTCCTTGGACGTCTCAGCATCGGGAATTGTAACCACAGAAAATGCACTAAGACATCCAGGGTACTATGAGGTGCGTTCCGAGTGACCATGGGAGGTCAGCAGGGGATAATCAGTTTCCCACTGCTCCTCTGTTTCCAGGAAATACAGCCTGCCTTCTACTACCTTCTCTAAAGCAAAGGAAAACAAGCTTTTATAGCAAACACACAGACAAGCAAGCCTGTGCATGCACACACACACACACACACACACACACACACACACACACTCACAGCCACAGACACACAGATAATACTCAGCCATACTCAGACAGACAGATAAACATACACACAGAGGCAGACAGACAGATAAACACACAGGGTACACAGAGATACAAACGGACACACACAGAGACTCAAACATAGACACAGACACACCCATGAGTGCACATGCACACACACACACACACACATACACAGAGTCAAACATAGGTAAACACTCAGATGCACACGCACGTGTGCACACACACACAGGTGTGCACACACACACAGACTCAAACATAGGTAAACACTCAGATGCATGTGCACACACACACACAACACACACACACACACACACACACACACACGTGTAGCATGAAGAAGGACATGATGGTTCTGTCCTGAAAAGTCTGGGAGAACTAGTTCCTTCCTTTGTTCAGGTTCTTTTTTAATCTCTCTGTTCTTATGCAAACTCTCCATTTCTGTCTGTTAATACCACAGCGGGAAGAAATACACACGAGATGCACTTTTGCACTTAAAAGAAAACTTGACAGAAAAGATCAAATTGCATTCACACCACTTTCGAATTAAAAAACCAAGACCAGCAAAGGCTCCTCCGGGCTGCCGTATAGGGGTCTGCCCCCAGCTGGGCGGGGTCTGCTCTAGCTCCTTTGGGGGTTCTGATAGTTTAAGAATCAGGTTGTAAACATTCTGGGGCTAGTCTCCCCACTCACACTGGACTTTGTAGCAAGAAGCCCGTGAGATGTGAGGGTCTGCTGCATAGGGAGTCCAAGGCTGGCCTGGAGGACCGTGATCCAGGGAGGGATCCTTAGCAATGGGCCAACGGCCTTCTGCAGAGAAGGGGACATTGCTCACTGGCCTCAGCCTTCCAGAAGACCCTGCTAAAGCCACCTTTGTTGGACTTGTGCCCCAGCATGCCGTGAAAAACATCAGAATGCTCATCACCATAGAGAGTTCACAGGAACTATTTCCAGGGAGCTGTCCAGAACTCACGTCCCTCAAAGGGGATGAACCTCGAGGCAAGTCATGTGTACGTGCAGATGTCCAAGAGGAAAGGTGTATAGCGCTGATCCTACTGCCTCAAACACGTGCCAGTGAGCACCCAGTTAGACCTTTTTATTTGCTTAACCTATTTTCCCTAAAAGAAATCCCCTAAGGAGCAGGATGCTAGCAAGGCCTTATATAACAGAAAATAACCTTCAGAGACACAGACTACACTTCCTTCCAAGGGCATGTGTCCCTCCCACAGTTCTGGGGCTGGCAGGGTCCAGTTCCCTGATTCTCCTTGGTCGGGGGTCTCCTAGCATCCTCGAGGCCTACAGGGCTCGGCACCTTTTCCTTATAACCCACAGGACAGTTTCACATCATCAAGTCAGACCAGAGAGGATCTTGAGGTGGGTCAAGCATACACCGGGTGTATGTGTCTGTGTGTGTGTTTGCACACGTGTGCGCATGTGTGCACACATGTCTATGGAAGCTAGATAACTATTAGTTGATATTAGCTGTCATTCTCAACCCTGCTTTATTTTGTTCACAGAACCAGGATCTCTCGTTGAATTTAGTTAGAGAGCACAGATTTGGCTAATCTAACCAGCTGGCCTTGGGGATCCCCTGTGTCCTGAGGTTACAGGTGGGCCACTATGCCCACCTAGATTTTATATGGGTGCTGGGGATCTGAACTCAAGACCTCACACCAGAGCAAAAGTACCTTGTCCACTGAGCCACTGTTCCAGACCCACAAGCGGAAACTTGACCTCTAGCCACCAATTCCGCCCACTGGAGACACATAAAAAGTTACAAACTTTAACACGGGCCCAGAAAGGATAATACGCATCCAGTTCCTTAATAAACCCTGCACCATTCAATGGGAGAAACAGAGGTCCACTGAGCGTTTAGAGACACGTGTACAAATGCTCTAGCAGCCAACCTGAGGGGAAGGCCCGTCCTCAGCCTCTAAGCCCTGAGCTCCAGAGAGCTGGTCCCTTTCAGAGTCTCCCTTCCTGACTGTTAACAGAGGTGTGGCAGTCACCAGAGAACCATCATGGCAGCAGCTTGGCAGTGGACTCCATCCCTGACTCTGTAACTTGCTGTGACCACGGGCAACTCCCACCACCTCAAGGAAAGTTTGTCTCCACCTGTAACTAACTACAAGTGTGGTCCCACCCAGCTCTGCAGCGTAAGCAAGAACCCATCCTGCTTCTGCACGGTGGTCAGAACGGCAAACACTCTAATGTAACAAGGACAGGGACTCTGTGCCGACCTTCATCCCAGGCTGGAGGACTTCTCTCCCACACAGAGGGTGACTGTGGCACAGGAAGAGACCCTGGGGGGCAGTTGAAGACGTCCCCATAGGTGGGTGAATTCCATCTCATTCAGCTCACTGGGAGCTTGGCTGATAAATTAAGGAACTTCACCCAGCCGCTCGGAGCATCAGATCCAGCCATCCCTCTCACCCTGCATGGCCAACGCTCCCAGACGTCAGCAGACAGTTGGTATTTGTTCCTTTATGCCTATCATCTTAGAGGAGGCCAGGTTTGGCAGCAGCAGAAAACAACACAACAACAAAAACCTATGAGCGAGTTTATACACAGAGGGGTCGAGTCGCAAACCAGATCATAGAGCCAGGAACCCCCGGGCTGCTGCAAACCCCGTGTCTCATGCAGGACAGGAATGCAAGGCAGTGAGACGCAGCATAGCAAGCATCCACACCCAGCCCCTCTGAGGAGGAACCTAGACTCAGCACAAAAGGAGAGTTGCAGGGGATGGGCCAGGACTGGCTGATACTCAGGCTCACACACGGTTAATTCCACGTGTCATCTTGGCTGGGCCATGCCATCTAGTGTGTAGTCGACATCAGTGTACATGCCACTGTGTATGTGTAAACTCTCCAACATCCACACCAGCAGGTACTAACTGCAGATGATCCTCCTCAACGCTGGAAGTCTTCAGAGAAAAGGACAGGCAGAGTTGGAGAGCTGACTCGGTGCCTCAAAGAGCTTGCTACCCAACCATGAGGGCCTGATTTTGGATGTGAGCACTCATGTGGTCTTGGGCATACCTGTAACCCTGGCACTTTGAGGGGCGGAAACACGAGGATTCCCGGGGCTTTCGGCCTAGCTGAAAAACCAGCTGTGGGCGCAGGGAGAGACCCTGCCTCAAAATAATGAGGTATAAAGGGAAAAGAGGACACGCAATGCACTCTTCTGTTCCCACGGTCAGTGAGTGTCACACACACACGGCACACACACCACACACTATATCCATCTTTCCACAATATTTCTGTTTTCACATGGGTGTGCCCGTGAGAGAGAACGCGTCTCTCTGGAGGGCCTGGTTAATCCATCAGAAACCCCCAAGCTTACCTGCACACAATGGAATTCAAAGTCTCTTGTCCAGGTGTCCAGGGAGGCCTGTGAAGGACACCAGATTTCATCAGTCCTCAAAGGTGCATCTGTTACTTATTCCCAGAACTCCACCCTCGGGGACTTTCCCCACATCTGATGGGAAATTAATCGTTTCAGTGTTTGTACTGTGTGTGCATACATATGCATACGCATACACATACACATCAACCACCCTGAATTGTGTGTGAGGAGTGCGCAGATGTCCTAAGTTACATGTAGGGCAGATAGTTCCCCTCGGTGAAGTTATTGAACACTAAGATCCAGAAGGGAGACGTGCTCTCCTGACGGATGAGCAATTCAACACGTTTCTCCAACAGTGGCAACCCCGTGGAAACAGCATCCACATCAGGATCTGGAGATCTCAGATTTTTCTCCCAGCCCAAGGTCTCTTTCCAAAACTTTTAATTTCAGTTAATCAATCAGTTAACTGAGTGTACGGGGGCCACACCAAGGTGTGTATGCGTAGGTCAGAGGACCCCCTGCAGGAGCGGGATCTGCACTCTCACCCTGTGGGTTCTGGGGAGTGAAACCCAGTCCTTAGGTAGCAAGTGCCTTTACCTGTGAGCCACCTGCAGCCCCCCGTACCCCACACAGCTGCCATTTAATTTCCTGCCCACACACACACACCACTTGACCCGACTCCATGCTTTATTTTTTATTTAAAAATTCTATATGATATAGTTTGATCCTGCTTCCCTCTCCCCCCCCACCGTTCCCCCAGATCCTCCCTACCCAACTTTATGTTTGTTCTCTCAAAAACAACAAAAACAAAGCAAACAACAAAACCCAAAATCCAAAGCAAAAAAACCAATAATACCAAAAAAAAAAGAAAAAAAATCCCAGAGAAAACAAAATAATAATAGTAATAATAATAATAATGATGGCTTACAAAAAACATGGTGTTTGTTTTGTGTTGGCCAACCCTGCCCTGGAATGTGATTGATTTACCCAGTAATACTCCACTGGAAAAACCCGATTTTCCCTTTGGCAACAGGTATGGCTCCTTGCCCATACATAGTGTGAGTGTGTGTGCGCATGTGTGTGTGTGTGAGTGTGTACATGTGTTCATACTCATATATATGTACACACACATATATACATACATACACACACATGCATACATACATACATACACATATACACACACATACATATATACATATGTATATATATGTAGGTGCTCACAGAGGACAGGAGACAGACTCAGGTACTCTGAAGCTGGGGTTACAGGCTGTTGTGTGCCTTCATGTGTGTGCTGGGAACAGCACAAGGGTCCTTTACAAGAACAGTTAACACTGAGCCATCTCTCCAGCTCATTCTGTAGACCAGGCTGGCCTTGAACTCATGGAGATTTACTTGTCTCTACCTCCCCGGTGCTGGGATTACAGGTGTGTGCCACCACCACTGCCTGGCAGCTTGTGATTTATTTAAACATCTATATCGCTACATGTAGACCAGGCTGGCCTCCAATACACAGAGACCCCCCTGCCCCCCCCCCCCCCCCCCGCCTCTGCCTCCCAAGTGCTGGGATTAAAGGTGTACACTACCACACCCAGGTGTATGCTCCCATTTTACAAAATAGTCTCTTCCCTTTTACAGGAAGAGGCAGAATAATTCTTAATACTATAGCACTGTAGTCCCCAAAGGGAAGTTCTGAAAACTCAATTAAGCTTATTTGTCCTCTAGTAGAGAACAGAAGTGAGGGAAGAGGCCACCCATGCACTCAGGGCACAGGACACAGCTTCATGACGTCCTTGGAGCTTGTGGCCTTCCAGCCAAATCCCCGATGAAATGCAACCTCACGCTCCGTTCCCTGTCCCTATCCACCCTCAGCCCTGCATTGCATGTCCCTCTCTTCTCATGCCAGCCAGTGGCCTCCGAGTGGCTGCCCCAGAGGGCCGGGGCCATCTGAGGCCTTCCTAGAACTTTTACCACCCAACCCCACTTCACTCTCTGGGTTCCAACAGGGACAGGCTGAGCAATCTAGTAATAGTCTGTAATTCAATTAGCAGAAGTAATGCTGCACAAATGGGTCATAGGAAACCGAAATGCAGTTCGCCCATTAGTGCTCCTATTTAAATCCCAACTGTTCAATATTTCAGGAAATGTTTAAAACGCTCGCCGTGTGTTTTCCAGCCAAGTGGAAACAACTGTCAGAGAAAGGGAATCTGAGTGAGAGATGGGGCTCTTTCCCCCATTGGGGTTCTGGAACTTACGGGCACAGCCACAGGAAGGCCGGTGCGTGAGTCAGGGCAGACAAGAAGATGAGGCACGGAGGTCATTTGGGGCACGTGCACCGGGCACCTAGAAGTGAGCTGTGCACGTTCCAGGCCCCAGCCAGCCTCACTGCACATGGTAATATAGCCCCCAGCTACCTGGTAAGAGGGTGCTGCGGGCACTGAACTCAGTGCCCTTGGAACGCCCTACCCCCTTCAGCGGCTTGCCTCAGTTCGGTCTGTTTTCTGACACAGGACAAGGCCCAGTCGACTCTTTCATTTGTTCACTTAGCAAGTATTCACCGGTATCACGTGGTACTCCCACCTCCAGGGGCCATGCTGGCTCCTTGAATGTTAGCACGGTCCTTGCTCTTGGGGAACTCGTTGAGCAAACTGGAAGAGTCATTTGTTTATCGGGTGATTCCCCTTAAATAAGCGAAAAGGTACTGAGACCAACCCTGTGCGCAGAACACTGCCTGGCAGCTGCCTTAGACAATGGGGACCTCGTGGCAGATGTCAGAGATGGCTATGGTCCATGAAGAGCTGGCCAAGCCTCCAGATCTGAAGATACAGGGACACTGAGGGAGAAGACGCAGGAAGCAGTAACGGTAGGCACAGCCCTGGCAGGCAGAGATAAAACAAACCCTAAGGCCCGGGGGCGTGGGCACAAAGCAAGAAGGCTGGGTTTTTATTGGGTGTGAGCCAAGCCATGGGACCAAAGCAATCAGAATCTGACTTCTACAGAGATGGCCCCGTCATGGAGCCATGAAGGGAAGTAACGTGATGTCTTCAGTACAACTAAGTGCCCAGCTGGCTCTGCTGAGCTTTGCCCAGGTCATCTTCCCATTCCCAAGGCCTCCCAAGCGCCCCTCTCCCAGGCTCTGTCTAAAACGGACAGCCAGCGATGCCAGCATCCACCTCAGTGTTGGGCCCACTGCTGAGCCCCTGTAATATTCCTGCTCAGTCCCCGACGTGATGGCGGCCCCAGACAGAGCTGGGTCACGTGGACCCCAGAGGGGGCTCTCCCTAGCAGCAGGTGACACTATCTCACATCTGAGGTAGAGAAAGAGGGACACAGTCTCATTTCTCCCCTAGTAAATGAGTTCCCGAGCTTTCCACGGAGTCCCAGTGGCAAACTCTCTACAGGGAAGGGGTCCAGCTCCATGGAATGAAACCCTACAAGTGACCCTGTACTCCTGTGCGGGGCCTGAAATCCACAGCGAAGCCTCTTCACAATGTGTGTTTTGGGTCCAAGTTTGGTTTGGTTTGGTCTCGTGATCTTTTCAGCAATAAAGAACGGCAAAGTTGTGTCCTTTGCAAGAACATGGATGAAACTGGGGCAAATCACATTAAGTGAACTGAGCCAGCCCCAAAAGACAAATATCATTTTCTCTTACGTGTGGTTCCTAGATCTAAAAATAAAAAAAAAACCACATATGTATTTGCCATGAACGTAGAAGTAAAGCTGTCTAGGGTAACAAAGGACTAATTCCAGTGCCGAGAGGAAGGAAGACAGGAAGGAGGAAGTTGATATTCAAAGTACCTTATGTACTTGTCCTAATGTAAAGCAACACTGCATAATTAATACATAAAATGGAAATTTAAAGATGAAAGATATTTAACAAATTTCACCAAACAGACTAGGAAACAAAAGCAAACGCATGAAGTCTTGCCTCCCGAGGCCGGCTGTCAATGGCCTGCGGTACGGACTGAGCAAACGGGTGTTTAAATGTTCCCGCTGATGCATGGCACACAAGACCTGGGGTTTAGAGACTGAGCAATATTGGCTGCACTATACACCAATTCCCCAGGGCGCAGCCGTGAGGTGTTTGTCCCTAGGTGCTTCTGCGTCCTGTGGTACCGGGCTTCCTTCCCATTCAGCCCCCCAGTCTGCTTCGGGGCCACTCACCTCGTAGGGCTCCTTGGTGGCTCTGCACTTCTCTATCTGGTAGAGCTGGGTCTTGTAGCAGATGCCATCTTGGATGTCACATTTCTACCAGAGAAAGAAATAAAAAGTTTGGCTTAAGCCTTGGCAGATAGAAACACCCACAACACAGTGTCAATTTTCAACCAGTGCTCAGCTCAGAAAAAGCCAAATGGCCGGCACACTGGCAAGCCGCAGGACAGGTTCACCCCAGCCCTGGGTGTGAGGAGAGACTGCGGCACACAGGCAGGCAGCCCTGGGCCAGTCTCCGCTCTCTGAGGATCTCCATCTGCCCAGTGTCAACCGTAGAAGGAGAAAGCGGAATCGGAAGTAGCTGGAAGAACACCAACTTGCCACACTGAGGAGGAAGCCCTCCTGCTACCGTAAACAGGCGGGAACGTAGCTCAGTTGGTGGAGTGTTTGCCTTGCCCTCAAGGGCTGAGTTAGTCTACGGCACTGAACAAAAGCAGGAGGTGGCATACACCGGCAGTCCCAGGACCTGAAGAAGCCGGGGTTCAAAGCCATCTTTGACCTTGTTAGGGGCTGGCCTGGGACAGGAGACCCAGTGTCAAGCAAACAAAAGCAGCGTGAAAACAAAGGAGGGTCACAGCAAGCCGCAACGGAAGCTGGTGAAGGAGAAGGCTTCCAATGTATGTCTCTTGATTCTAAAAAAGAAGAGGAAGGGAGAAACAAGGAACAAGGGGAGGCAGGCACTCCAGTCCACTGGATTTCAAAATCAGACACGGGTTGTTAGTGATCGGCCAGGATAACTGTGACAGCGCCTACATACGCCTTAAGACTCAAAGTTAAGTGTCACTGCTCCGTAAAACCAAATGCTCCTCCAGTCAGAACTGCAAGGACGGCGTTTCCCAGGAATGCTTCCCGCGCGACAGAGCCACGCTCAGCTTTGCAAACGCTCGAAACTGAGGCTAGACAAGGTTGAAGACAGGAAGAGACAGCGGGAAGGCAAGGAGCCAGGCTAAACATATTTTCTCTTCCTCCTGGCAACCTGGTCCCAGGACCTGCTTACAAATCCCAATCCTGTGTAAATCGTTTATAGGCAACCATGCAACATTTGCATATAAACTATGCACATCTTCCACACGCTTTAAATCTCTGAATTACGTATAACACCTAATACAAAGAAAATACTGTGCAACTACTATTTAGAGAATGATAAGAAAGAAGTCTGCACATGTTCAGCACTAATATAATATTCTCCCAAATATATCTGATCGCTGGTTGGCTGAATTGTGCAGACACAAACCATCAGAGAGAGGGCCTCCTGTGGCTTTTCCATTCCCCATACTCTGAAGAGGCAGGCATGGGCTCCACAACTTTTAATAGCAGTGAAGTCTCCAGTGCGGTGATATTTTGTTTTGTGCTTTCACAAACAAAGCTTGCCTGAAGATCAGAGTGCAGAGCTGGCCACTAGGGAACCACAGAGGCCGGGCAATGGTGGCACACACCTTTGATCCCAGCATTTGGGAGGCAGTTCTCTGTGAGTTCAAGGCTGCCTTGGGCTACACGAGTTTGAATGCGTCTGAAAGAGAAACAGAGCTCACACCTTTGATCCCAGCACTTGGGAGGTGGAGACAGGAGAGGTGGCTGGGCAGAGAGAGGAATTATGAGGCAGGAGGAGACAGGAGCTCATTGCATTCAGTGTGAGGATTTGTAGGGACAGGTTTGGACTGAGGATTCGGTAGAGGTCTCTCTACTGGCTGGCTCCTTCACTTCTCTGATCTTTTAGAATTTACCCCGATATCTGACTCCAGGTTTTTATTATTAAGACCAATTAGAACTTGTGATACATTCCAATTCCTCTAAAGCCAAGAACCCAAAGAGCTGGGAGGTGTCAGAATAAAAACAGACAAGAATGGAAGACAGGGGTCTGCCAGGGCTAACTGATGGAGGAGAGCCTTCAGAACTAACTTACAGGAGCACATTCGGAACACATCTCAGATCAGTAGCGCCATCTAAGAAACGGTTGGTCTTTCTAGACTTTACCCCACACTCAAGAGGCTAAAGTAACAGCACGGATCAAGTGTCAGCAGAAGAAACTCCTCTGGTCCCACTTACCCCCGACAAATAGCGCTCGAGTTTCTTGTTTAACAGGAAGTAGATGGCCAAGATGTGGCAGGCGCGGTTGGAGAGCACCGTGTTGATGACGTCGCTGTTCTTGTATCCCAGCTTTTCAGTCATATGCAGCACCACACTGGGGCTCAGGTCTTCCAGTGAAATCCTATGAGGGGTGGTGGACACAGGGAACCAGTCATCTCTCCCCTCCACAGGCTCACAAACATGGCAGGGGACAAGGGTCCACACAGGGCCCCAGGGACAACTGAGGTGCCTCAGTCACTTGATTTTCTTCTTCTTCTTTTTTAACTGAATCGGGGCTGCGTGCCGCCCAGGCTGGCTCACACTCTGAGTAGCTGAGAGGATGACTTTGAATGCCAGACGCCCCAGAGATTACATACATCCTGAGTGCTGGGACTGGAGGCGTGCGCGCACACACGGGCACACACACAGACACACAGACACACACACACACACGCTGCCACACCCGCTGAGTCCTGGGACTAGGAAGGCTGGCCAGGCACCCAGCCAAAACTTGTTGACCCGCTGGGATGAGCATTTACTGTAAAATATTTGGTATAACGTTATTCCATCCAACCCTTTGGAGATCAGCTTGGAGGCCCAATGGCTTCACAGGAGAAAGCTGAGGGAAGAATAGTGTGGAACTCGGGGGCTTTCTTTACTTTCCCAAGGGAAAGAAACACTGACAATATCCAAACTAATTAAACCAAGGGGCAGTAGTATTGGGAAACTAGAAAATAGATTTTTCAAATATATATGTATATGGAATATGTGTCTTTGGCTGTATGTTTCTTTTCCTTTTATGTAAGAGCTGGTAAAACCAGAAAAAAACCAATTACCAGAAATATATATACTTTTGCCTCTAAGATTAACAGTTTTTCAAAATAAAAACTGTAAATAACACATACCTCCCCCAACATTTTAGAATTCTAGTCTCCTGTCTTAGAAACAGAAGCTGTTTTTTGTCTTTTGACTACAATAAGCCACAGGCCTTCGATAACACAATACACCACACTGCCATTTTCTTTAAACAAGACACTTTTACTGTTTATTAGCCAGCTGTTCTCTCCACATTCACACACACACACACACACAGACACACAACTCACACATTCACACACACACACACAACTCACACATTCATACACACACACACACACAGACACACAACTCACACATTCACACACACACACACACACCACACTCTACCCAAGCTGGCTAAAGCAGTATAAGGAATTGAATCTATGTTTACCTCACTGAAGCCTGCCTCCTGTCCACTGTGGAGAGGCTACAAAACTCTAAGCCACATTCTAAGTCTCTGTCACTGAAGAGGAAGCTAAATGGAGGGGCTGGCTCTGTGTGCCCAGTGCAGCACCACAGCCTTCCACAGCTTGTGTTGGGTGGATGGCTTATGCTCATTTAGACAGTGGTTACATTAGCTTAACGACCCTTTTGGTCGCCATCAATGCCACTTCTTTACCAGAAGGCAGCCGGCACGTTGCCCTACAGAAACAAGGCATGGCCCCTCAGCTTTGTTTCCAGGCTCACAAGGGGATAACTTTCCTGGTATCTGTTTCTGTTCCTGGCCCAAATTGAGCAGGTATTGGAAAACAGTGTTTATTTCCACGTCCCCTTGACAACCTAGGTAACCAGGACTTTGTCTAAATTACCACCCATGAGCCAAAGGCTAGAGTTCTACATGGTGACCAGACAAAGAGCCCAGAGCAAGAGTAAGTTCGGTCAAGTAGCCTGGATGCAGACCCCAGAAACGTCCACCAGGACACTTTAAGGAGCTCCATCCCAAGTGTTGCCTATCTCCGTTAAGGGACTGGGCACTTCAGCTTTCAGAAGGCCTGGTGGATGTTTCTAGACCTTCTTGGCCTAGGCTTGGGGATTCTCAAAAATACGGCCACAGAGGACATCCCTCCTCTGTTCCTCCATTAGTTCTCAGATCCTCATCCAAGCTTGGTAGAATGTGTAGGGCTCTCAAGAATTAAAAAGGGAGAGAGAGGGGGTATCCCGGAAGGTTGGAGTCAGGCAGTCTCCATGTATACTGAAGTAGCCAAAGGGAAACGTTCCCTGTGCTGGTCTTCCGGTCTGTAGTCTGTGCCCTGCAGAGATGGCCGGCAAACTGACCTTCAGGGCGCCCACACATAACGATCCCTCAGGACACAACCCTCCCTCGGGGTCCATTCTCGTGGAAACTGGAAGGGAAGGCCTCCACAGCAAGCCCACAATCAGGCAGCTGAAGTGAACGATCACATCCCTGTGGCTTTCAAGCCAGGGACTCAAGAGACTCAAGCAGCAGAAGGTAAGGCTGAAGGGTCATTTGAAAGACTCCGTTCTGGGATCCATAAAGTTTAATGTTGGCAGGAGAGCTCATGGGTAGATCTTTCCCACCTGTCTGTTTGCCTGCCCCTCTCTCTCTCTCTCTCTCTCTCTCTCTCTCTCTCTCACACACACACACACACACACACACACACACACACACACACACACACACACGCACGCACGCAGTTCAAATGGACCCTTTAAGTGAACTATAACTGCCCCTTGGGGAATATGTAACCCATCAGAACAAGGTCTGGAGAGGGGGCAGGTCCTGCAGCTCAGCTTCCCTTCCTCCAACAGGCTCCACAGGACCCATCTGGCACAAAAGCATAAGACAGCCCTGGCTGCATCTTCTTGCCCAATGAGATGGGCCTATCTGCAGGCGGGCAAGGCCAGGCAAGGGGATGGGAAATAAACAGCACTGACTTCAGTCACACACAGCGTGCTGCCCATAGCTATGGAGGGGTCACAGGGCGGGTTCCATCTCCCCAGAGGAGCTGTCCCTCTGTAAGCACTAGCTTACCTGTTGGGATAGGTGACATTACAGGGCACTTTCCCGGTGTAATTCTCATTTAACCAGCGATTTGCCAGTGCTTGCTGAATATTCGGTCTCTTCACGGGGTCTGGTTCCAGGAGAGAGCGCAGGAAGTTGATGGCCCCTGTGAGACAGTCAGCAAAGAACACACGTTGTAGGCTGAGCACAGGCGCAGGCCCCTTAGCCCCTCCTAGCTCCGCTCTTAGGGTCTCTGGCAAAGCTTCGTTTAGGTAGCTCACAGATCGTGAGTTCAGTCCCCACTTCAGACACCTGGAGTTTTAAATTCCAATTCTTCCCACACATGTCTTTTAAAGAGGTGCTACATATCCAAGGAGCATACCTGGTACCCGAGACAGCAAGAATCAGTTTGCTCTCCCGGGACCATGCATTTCTGGAACAATCTGTGAGCTCTTGTGGAGAGATCAGCCACAGAGAACTATTTACATGTGGAGGATGAAAAAGTAGAAACGGAAAAAAAAAAAAAAATGCCCAATATCATGGCGTCGCCTGAGCAATCAGAAAGGAAGAAAGATAAATGAGTTTGAATTAGCCCCTTGAATTTGATCCTGACCTCGGGCACCGCGTCTCATGAGGCCAATGAGGTGTTTCCTGGCTGACTGGGTAATGGATTGATTTGTTTAATGTCCCAGGAATTAAGCCTGGGGTATCATACATGCCTCAGCCTTACTTTACCTTTTATTTTGAGGTGGGCTCTCACAAAGCAGCCTAGACTACCCTTGAACTCCCTCTTAGCCCAGGCAGGCTTCAGACCTCTCCTGGCCTCCCTGGTAGCTGGGATTACACATGGACATCACCAGCAGTCCATTCTTGTTCTCGCAAAGCTATTCTCTCGCGCTCCCGACCGCCCCAAACCCTGTGAGATTATAATAAGTGCCCACACTAGCCTAACCCATGCTTGCCTAGCCAAGCGTATCAGGCTGACAGCACACCAAGGAATCGGCATGCTTTTGTTTGGATGTTAGGTCAATTATGTCTTAGTCTGACACAGGGGTCTAGCAAGCAGAACTCGCCAAACCCATGCCTATCGGATGCTGTCCCTTAAAGGAAGAGGATGCCTGGGCAGAGTGTATGCCAATACTATTTTCTCTCATTTCCAGCCTAAGGACCTGGTACAGTAACGTCAGCTACACTGAACCACAAGTGTTAAGGAAGGACATAAAAACCACTAACAACTATAAAATCCTCACAGTCCCTCTTACTTCCATAAGTAATTTGTTTTAACACCCTGGGTCTCCTTCCGTTACACAAACATTTACAGAACACCTGTGCTCTACCCAAACACTAGAGACAGGGAGCTGGATGTCTGTATCCTTTAAGATCATAACAGGAGAGACAGCTGTACAGCATGCAAAACTGAATTTTGGAAGGTACAGCCTGTTCAGTGAGAGAGTCTGAACACAGAGAGTACACACACACACACACACACACACACACACACAGTGAGAGTATGCACACAGGGGTTGGTTTTCCTGAGTTCTGAGACTCCATTTCCCTGTCCTATGACATCTCATTATCATCCGGCAGGCAGAGTGCTTGCCTGGCTTGAAGGAAGTCCTGGTTAGATCCCTAACACCACCGAAGTCAGGCATGAAGGCGCACATCCATCATCCCAGTACCTGGGAGGTGGAGACAGAAGGGTCAGGAGTTCAAGGTCATTCTAAGCCCCTTCAAGGTCAACCCCCATAGGATACTAAGACATAACACCTTCCCTCTCAGAAACAAAAAATACTATTCCTTTCTTTTTTTATGTATGTAAGCAGGTTCATATCTACCCATGTACATATGTGTGCACATATATAGAGGCTAGAGTACCACCTAAGGTGTCATCTGAAGGGAGCGTGGGTCTGGGAGGAGGCAGGGAGGAAGTAAAGATAATGAATGTGTTGCACGAAATTCTCCAAGAACTAATTAAAACAAGGGGGAGGGGAAGAATGCCACACACTTCTTTGGAGACAAGGTTTCTCACTGGCTTGGGGCTCAACCACTAGGCTGGACGGCTGGTCGGTTAGCGCCAGGGACCTTCCTGTTTCCCTCCTTCCAGTGCTGGCATTACAAGCGCATATCGAGGCGTTCACCACACCCAGCATCCTCATGTGAGATTTGGGGAATCAACCCAGGGTTCTGTGTCTGCAAGTCAAGTGCTCTATCAGCTAAGCCATTCTCCAGACGCCCCGCCAAATAATTCTTTAGTTTTCTAGGTATCCAAGTCTCTTGAATCAAATAGTAAGTCTCAGAAAATAATCTCCATTTGTTTTGACTCCAAATAGGTCTGTCTTTTTCTCCAGAGCTTTCCTGTTTTTCTTTTTCTTTCTTTCTTTCTTTCTTCCTTCCTTTCTTTCTTTCTTTTTTTTTTTTTTTTTTTTTTTTTTTTGTAGAACCCTGCTTATCCAGGAGCAGTCACGAAAATCCACACTTGCGTTTGCCTTCGGCTGTCATTTAAATTGTACTTGAAAGAACGATGGCCCTTCTGTGAGTACTTTTCCTACGGTGGAAATAAAGCTGTCAGAGGAGGGGTCAATTGTGAGACCAGAATCAGCTCCCCAGAAACAGCCCTCTTCAACACTACCTCCACAGGCAACCGGTACCTCACGGGCCCAGCACATGTGGCCATCTGCCTGCAAGAACATACTGATCCAGATGAAGGTACAGGTGCCATTAACAGCCATGAGGTACATTAACACGGCCAGACTTTTTAAAAGATTCATTTGCTTTTATTTTATGAGTGATCTTATCTGCATGTGTGTAAGTGCACACTGTGTGTATGTGTGTAGCACCCACACAGGCCAGAAGAGCGTGTTAGTTCCCCTGGACCTGGAGTTACAGATGACTGTGAGCCACCATGTGGGTGCTGGGAACTGAACTGGGTCTTCTCGAAGAGCAGCCAGTGCTCCTAACCACTAGCCATCTAACCACTAGCTCCTAACCTCCTAGCCATCTCTTTAGCCTCTACATGGTCAGTTTTATAGCTAAGTCTCCAAATAATAGTTTCCTAACTCCCCCCCCCCAAAAGAGGTTCCTGGGTTTGGAAGAATTATTCCCTCCTTTCCACACCCCTTCCACTACAGGAGTCTCTTGAGGACTTTTTCATTTGGGTTTGTTGTTGCTGTTTGGTGTGTGCACCCACAGCAAGGCAGGCACAGAAGCCAGAGGATGGCGCCAGGTGCCCTGCTCCATCATCCTCCACAAAAGGGTGAGCCAAGAAATCGGTGGGATTACAGGCCCACGCACAACTAGGCCACACTTTGTAATGTGAGACCTGGGACTTGAACTCAGGTATTCCTGCCTGAACAGCAAGCCCTCTTACTCACTGAGCCACCTCCCCAACCCACCACTCAGACCTTAAACAGGGGCATCTGTTGTCCAAGGACAAAGTGGTGGGTTTGATGAACTGAATGGGGGGGTGCCTTCTGAGATCTCGGATGCTCACCCCTAAAAGACAGGCAACCCTTCGCAGCCAGGGCCGGGCTTCTTTGAAGGATGATTGACCAGAAGAGCTAAGGACAGACGGATGTGTGTTTCTGTTCTATTTTTACCACCGAGTGCGCTAAATCTTCACAAACTGCTGATAGGCACATGTAATTTTAGTTCACGTCTCTGCTGACGGTCATACACCTCTGGACGTCACAGATGTCACATGGCTATCCTGAAAGGACTTTGTGAACATCCTCAGAGTGCTTCAAGGTTTGTCCTTGGACCTTGGAAATATCTGTGTCTCTGGGACCGAGAGGGGACTACACATTGAGCCCAGCAAGTGGAATCTGGCTGGCATGGTCATAACAGCCTCCCCTCCTGTGAGCTGACTCTTGGGCTTTCTCCTCGAGCTGGGAGAGTTGAAACGAGACCAATGGAAGCTCCGTCGCCTTCATGTAGCTGGAAGTAGGCACCAAAACCCTTTCTTTCAGGCGCGGTCAGGCCTCTCAAGTCTGAACTGGCCTATGTGAGCACTGGACACTGCCCAAAGCAGGGGCTGCAGGCAACAGACAGAGTCACCTGCCATTACAGCAGCCAGCCAGATGCAAGCTGAGGCCTGTTCTTCAGGGAGACTACCTTCTCACCTCTCGGCTAAGAAGCCTCTCACAATGGGTGGTTAAGCCTCCTTGGAAATCTTAACCAGGCCCAAGCTGAGCAATGCCAACATTTCTTCCTGGGCTTCTCTCTCGGTGCATCTGTGGGACAAAACCCTCTTAATTGGAAGTGTCTGTTTGGAATGTATTATAAATGCTATTGCTATGGCGCTGTGTGATGAGAGAGTAAACTGTTGGAAGAATCTCTCAGCCGCGAAAGGCATTCGCTAACTCCGTGCTGTGCAGGAGCCAACTTGCAGAAAGCGGAAACCGACTAGAGGAGAGTTGGAAAGGACCCCAAAGCTGAAGGTTCCCAACCAAATGATCGGAACAAGGAGGCGCGATTCTTTGCACATTTCATAGACTCACAAGGACGGGGGGGGGGGGGGGGGGGCTGTAATTTTTTTCCACCTGAAATTTGCTAAAACAAAAATAAGCAATATTTTGAGTTTGATCTAAATGGAATAATAATAAGATCTAATTGATGTCGTCAATGCAAATAGGACTGACAGATTATCAGATTAATGGAGATATGCTGTGACATGTGTCCCCATAGGTGGTAACACTGGGGCACTTTCAGTTAGCAATGACATCACTTAAAACACAAGACCTGAAGACAAGAGACAAGACTTGCAAGTTCATGGGTTGTGGAGGGGGCAGGTCATGAGTCGAATAGGGAGAAAGGGGGCCAGAGGGATGGCTCAGAGCTTGAGAGTGAATGTTGCTCTTGAAAAGGACCCAAGTTCAGCTCCCAGCACCAATGTTAGTCGGCTCATGATGACCCATAACTCCAGCTCCAGGGGGTCAGACACCCTCTCTGGCCTCTGCAGGTTCTACAGACATAGGGCGTGCGGGGTGTGTAACAGCACAAAGGAAAATCCTCCAATCGAGCCAACTTCGTCACTCCGAGACTCGGTTCCCTATTGGTAAATTGGGAACAATGGCATTTACCTTGCCCGACTGAGTGGAAAGCACTTACAGGAAAAAGGACTGTGTTCTGTTGTTCCATGAAGGGGCAGCTTCTCTTGTTACGGTAAACTAGTATTTCTGGATGTAACAGCTGATGCCCCGGGCAAACAAAGGTGGACCAGGCGTGTGCAGTGGTCTGCTTTCCCTGCAGCCGGTGTGTGGCTCACACTGCGCTGGCCACATACACCTCTGCTTTCACCTTCAGTACCCGTGTGGGTGGCATTGTTCCATTTCCATGGCCTGACAGAGGCCATGCTTACATACAGGAGGTGTGCGTGGCTTTTACTGCTGGGTGGGGACCTCTGATGGGGAGGTCCTTCTGTATATATGTTTCTCATATTGGTTGATGAATAAAACACTGCGACCAATGAGGCAGGGCTAGGAGACAAGGAGAATTCTGGGAAACGTAGCCAGACAGCAGATGCCATGTGAGACTGGGAAGGTAGGATGCACGGGACTCTTCTCCGGTAGGCCAAGACCACGTGGAAATACGTAGATTAATAAAAAAATGGGTTAGTAATTAAGACAGAGCTAGCCAATAAGAAGCCCAAGTCACCAGCCTACGGTTTTATACTTAATATAAGTCTCTGCATGTTTATTTGGGGCTGAAGGACCACAGGACCAGTTGAGCCAAAGAACCTCTCCTTACAAACCTCCTCCTTTACCGTCCCTGCATGGACCAGCTCTCACTTGGGCTCAGAACTCTTCTTCTCTCCTTGATCCAACTTCCAATTAATACAAAGCACAAAAAGTAATCCTTGCGGATGTAAGCCACTGTGAATCAGGGCTGACTGCTGTTATTGTGACCCAGCAATTTTGTTCTTAGCCATTTGTCTAAGAGAAAGCACTTTCACACAAACATCTGGAGATGAAAGTTCACAGCAGCTTTATTCATTAGTAGTCCCAAAGTGGAAGCAATCCAGTGGTCCTTCAACCAGTGAGCGGTTGAACAAACTGTGATATGTCCCTACCTGGGAATACAACTCAGCAGTGAAAAGAAATAAAGTTATGATGTTTCTAACAACTAAAATGGATCTTAACACAACTGTGGCGAGACAAGGGACTTATGCATATTCTCCATCTCTATAATTCCTTCGTCTCAAAAACTGAACAGCGATGGAGAAAGGGTAGGGGCCAGTAGGGGTTTGTGAGGGGGGAGGGAAGGGGTAACAAGGGCTATCCAGGGAAGGAGAGAGGTTCCTGTAATGCAGCTGTGTATCTTGATGCCACTGCACTTAAAGCACCAACACTGCCCACTATCTGACATGCTTATTTACCCGTGTGTGTGCGTGTGTGTGTGTGTGTGTGTGTGTGTGTGTGTGTGTGTGTACACATATACATATAGATGCACGTATTTGCCTCTCCTACAGATGTGTATGCTCTATAGGAGCAGAGGCTCGCCCAGAAGCCTCGGTGTGACAATTCCTTCAACACGTTGAGTTTCCTAACTCCATGAGGTAAGGCTCGCAGTACAGAAATATTTCTTCCAGAAGTCAGAACTGTAGCCTCTCATCCCAAGGACACAACGCCTCCCTGGCTCTCAGCCTCCGGGGATTATACAACCCTTGCAAGGTGAAAGTGTGGCTGGATTGAGTAATTATGCCCAAGAACTCATTCCCAGGTGGACTCACTGACAATAGTATGTCACGGGTCAGTTTCCCAGACCCTTATAAACCCAAGGGGAAAGTATTTAATAGTGGCAACATAAAATGCTCTATTGTATCCATGTATCAGGAAGGGGGACATTAAATAATTAACCTCTCTTGGTCAAAAGCCTCATTTCAGTGAACCTAGATTTATTCTAACAGAACAATTAAATGGCCCCTCCGAGCCGAGACTAGGCCAGGAACTTGATGTGAATTGTGAACCAAACAATAGATCAGCTCCTATTAATTTACTGAGTCTGAAACCAAAACCTTTATTCAAGCCTTTCACTGCAATCTGAAGCTGCTAAAGTTTGAGAGAACTTCTCAGACACATCTCTGATTTTTCCCAGTGAGGTAACCAAATCTACAATATACCTGAAAGCTTTCAAAAGGGCCTCAAAAATGCACATCACAACAAACCACAGAACGAATACTTGAGTGACTACAGAAAATGTTCCTTTCCAAGGCAACACTGCAAAATGGTGAACTGCAACTATTTCTCCAGCAAAGTCTGCACAGCCCTCTTGACGTAGGTCAAGACAGAAGAAGGGGGATCGGGGCCTCCTAATCACGGGGGAAAGGAGGAGGCTCGCGTAGTGAACGGACTGGCTTCTCAGGGATGGGAAGCCCAGCAGCCTCTCTTGTTTGAGCAGGGCAAAGGAAATCACCATCACACAACCACTTCCAAATCTGTCAGAGCACAGGTGCCCAAACCCTGAATCTAGAGCAGCAGTTAGTTGTGTTACCTGTGGAGAGCTGGGTGGGGAGGGGGTTCATCTCTTTGTCCACCATCTTCTGGTACAGGGCTCTCAGGCTGAAAGGCTCCACTGTGAAAGGCAGGGTCCCGGTCAACATAGCGTACATGTTCACACCTCTGCAAAGAGACACACCCAATGTGAGAACAGAGGCGGTCCCGGGTCCCGGGAAACAAAGCACACAGCCGGCCAGCTTCCTGGCCTCTGCCCCTGGCTGAGGCATCCTCCTAGGACGCTCCAATCGTGTCACCGCTGAGGTGTTGACACCAGAAAGGCTGTGTGAGAACACTGTAACAATGTAGCAAGCTCTCAGAGCTGGGTAGGGACAGGAAGAGCCTATGCAGGAGGAACCACACTGTCTGAATTCAGGTTGAGCATCAGTCGGAACATCTAGCCCCCAACAAAAAATAATTCTGAAACCCCTTGACTACCAAAACGACACCAGAAGCAGACAATTCCGTAGCACACTAAGGGTACTATGTAAAACCACCTTCAGGCTGGCTCCATAACATGTATGTGATACACTGACCCCATGGCCAGGACAGTTCATTACATTCATTACATACGTGCAAAGATTCTGAAACCAAAAACCAGTTCTGGTCCTAAGCATTTTGGGCAAGGGACACTCAAGTTGCCATAAGACATCAAACACCAAAGAACTCCAGATGAAAGTATGTGGAACATGCCATTCATTAGCAGCATCGAGCATGAGTCCGCCAGCCCGTAATCATTCCAGATATGCTCTATGAGGTAGGACTTAAATGGGACCAGATTAAATGATACAGGACAAGAGCCACCCCTTCTGGGCTAATGAGGGCTTTTGTTTACCGCTCAGCCCTTTGAAGCCAAACCCCACACCCAAAGCCAGTCTTTCATCCATCTCTTGAGTTTTGCTCTGGGTTGTCACTAAAGGCAAGTCCTTCCCAGACTCTGTTTTCATTGCAGTATTTATTGTGAGGCTCTCCCACCAGGCCCTGGCGCAACATCTCGGCTGTGGTTGAGCTTATTGCTGGGCAGACTTAACTGATTATATCCAAAGCCAACCCAGAGGACAGCGAAGTCTTCTGGGAGGATTTTATTCTCTTGATGTATAAACCTACTATCATGCTGATGAGATTTCCTGATGCAGAAGAAACTCCTGCTTGCCAAGAGGTCTCTGCTGTTCAAAGGCTCCGGAGTGGACGTGTTTTTAAAAACAGGCAACAGGCTTTCCAGCCAAAACAGAGCCAATGAGACTGATCGAAACCAAGACCCTTCGGGCCTAATTCCACGGAGGCGCCTCTGCATTATGCATTCCATATAAAGTCAGGCTCTGTCCAGGGCCGTCAGCTCCAGCATCGAGCACTCTCGGGTTTCAGATGCAAGCCGAACTCAGAATGGAGTCGGGGAGACAGACATTCATTCCACAGATTCTTTCCGGATGCCTCTCTCTGACAGACTGTCAGCCCAACAATGAGGCTGCCATTTTGGATTCTGAGCTGAAGGTAAGCAGACACATGAAGAAACACAACCCTTTGGAGCAAAGTGGGAACGGGAGAGCGAGACAATGTTGGCCCACGCTGCTTCTGAGTCCGAGTTCAACTAAGGAGACGGGGCCTCTTATGACTGCGAAGCCTCTTAGAGGAGTGTTTTATGTATGAGCTTAGTTGTCCGGACATGGCCATGTGACAAATTACACAAACCAAGAAACAAGAGCAGACAAGGCAGGTGCGCCGTCACAGACAGTAGGAAGCAGAAGTTCTTGGTGCGTGTTCAGTGCAACACAGTCCCCGGGGCGTGAGGAGATATGAACAGAAAGTTCCATGGCCAAACAAGTTACTTACACAGGGGGTCACGGAAGTGACTCCCACGGAAGTGAACAAAAGCGGCCCAGAGTGGAGACCACGGAAGCAAGCACAGAGTATTGCTCTAAGTCAGACTGAAGCGGTAGATTTCACACAGAAATCGAGTAGGCAGCAGGGACATATGGAGGGGTGTACCGAGTTAAAGCTCGGAGAGCCAGGCCAGCCGTGGTGACAGCCGGAAGTGAGGGAGCTGAGGGACGCAGTCTGGAAGGGGAGCAGAAGAGAGCCGAAGCTGTGACTCGCCTTAAAGACCCATTGTGCAGGGATGCGTCTTTGATGCGTTTTAGGTAGAGCCAAACACTGACAGGAAAGGAAACTAAGAAGTCTCACAACTATACGATCCGTGTCTACAAAGAGGCCTTAGACACGGGCTCTAATGAGTGGAAAACCACTGGCCTCTTCCACAGATACTGAACACCACTCAACGGTCATCTTCACGATGAACAACTGTCCATGGCATCCTGGAGGAAGCCCGTCCCAGGCAGGGGTGAATGATACTTAGCCAGAGTCTTTGTCTTCTGTACATGGCTCCTAGAGCAAGGCCAGGTCGTCTCTCAGTCAGAACTCTCTTGTCATTACCATGTGACTCGGAAGAGGCCGACGTGGACTTAACATGTCAGTGATGCTCCTGCAGGGGTCTCCTGCCAATCACAGTGGAGCACTGTGCCGCCGGAACACTTGGGCCAGCACATTCCCGGCCGGCTCCAGACTCAGTCAGAAACTCCCAGACCAGACCTTGTAATACTCGGTTTAACAATGGATCCCTCTGGGGCTAGTGAGATGACCCAATGGGTAATGGTGCCTGCCAGGCAAGCCTGGTGGTCTGTGTTTGAGAGTCCGAATGCATGTAAAACGTAAAGGAGAGCAATGACTTCATAACCACGTCCTCTGATGGCCACGTGCCCACTGAGATGTGACCCTCCTCTCCTCTCCCTCCCCTCCCCTCCCTCCCTGCCTCTTCCTCTCTCTTCCTCGCCCTCTCTCACACACACACCACGTTACATACACAAATGCACTCATGGGCAATAATAATGACTTTAAAAACTCTCCGGTTTAAAAGCCACCGGGAAGATAAAATGTACACGGTGGTAGAACCATCACAGCAGGCCTGGGGGAGGACTAGCAGGGACGGCTACACAGACTACAGACAGCAATCCAGCTCTTCTTTAGCGCCGGCTCCACTGTGTTGTGCTAATGTCCTCACTGGGAAATGCTGGGGCTCCTAAATCTTTGTAATATTAGCATGTAAATTAGTGTGAGTATTTTGGTTACACAAGGTCATACATTTGTTGAGTCTAATTCCAGACTCATGTGCTCATAATACTTAAACAAACAATAAAAAAAAAAAAAAAAAAAAAAAAAACACCTATGACAGGGTGTAAAGAGGTCAATACTGTTCTTCCTCCCGGAGAGCAGATTGCAATCCTCAAGCCTGAAGACCTCCCTGTCACCTTCACTTCCAGCCTTATCTTCTGGGGACACGTGGCTTCTTGTCACAGGTGGAATGCTCTGAATGCTACAGAAGGCCCCCAGAAGCAAGGTGCTATGTGGCAGAGAAGGAACTGAGTGAGGGGGTTTATTAAATGTCTGAACCAAGAAGAACAACCCTGAAACCATTGCAAACGTTTCTCTCAGGAGACCGGAAGACAGCAAATCACCGGGGTCCTTCTCTATCACCAGATGGCTCCAAAGGATGAACACAAACACACAAACAAATAAGACAAAACAAAAAACCAACTCTATAAACATAGGCAAAGCACACTGCTCTCTCTCTCTCTCTCTCTCTCTCTCTCTCTTTCTTCCCCCCCTTCTCTCTCTGCTCCCGATTACCTACTTTAGACCACAGATAAGAATGGATGATGCTGTGTTCAAGACGGTGCCAAGGGACTCCAACCCACAAGCCAGATCTTGACTGCCTTACCAAAAGGCTCCCAGGTATTATGGAGTGATCAATTCAAAACTCACAAAGGCTAAGTGATTGCTCTCGCTTCGTCCTAAGGGCATTTACCTTTAAACGTAGCTAAAATGAAGGCCAAATAACAGAGGCCACGGGAAGAGCTGAGTGCTGTGTCTGGAGTAAAATAAACAGCACACAAATCTTCTCTGTTGTTAAATTAAAAACAAAACCAAACCAAAAAAAAAAATCTGTTTAAATAAAACAAAGCGACAACCACAATAAGAACTACAATCGTTTTGGGGCACTATTACAAATGATAACGGAATCCCACATTAATAGTTGGACGGCCCCAGGAGAGTTTAAAAGAGAAACCAGATTGGACATCTTTTTCCATCCATGTTTACTATGTGGATGAAGAGAGACGGCAGTCCCTCTGACATTTCATAAGCATGCGAGGACACCAAAGGGTGGTATGTGGAATGCGGTTTCTAACCCCCTGTAATCCCACAGAATCAGGCAGGGTTTCAAAACACGCTCAGAATTTCCTGAAAAGCCTTTTGAAATAGGGCCCAGGGGTGTCCTGGCTTCTCTGGGGGCAGACATGGAACTTTGGCGACTCCAAGACAGCCTTGAAGAAAGCCAGTAATCAATTATAGAGGCGGGGACAAGGGAGGGAAAGCCTGTGGGAAAATGGACATTGCACACCAGTCTGATGTCCAAAGAGACTCAACTGGGGACAGAGACGGGCGGCTGGAAGGAGGGAAGGAGCCCCGTGGAGAGGCGTGTGGGATCTTCCGTACTGAGTCAGAAGGCGAATGCTCATCTTGATAGTCTGACAGTCAGCCTGACACATTGAAATATTCCCTGGAGGGAAAGCTGCCATCTCCGTGAAGGAAGACACAGAGCCACTACTCCCTGGAGAAGTCCCAGAAACTTCACCCAGATGCAAGGAATAAAGAGGGTGCCGACTCTGCATAAGCATGTGGAGAGCGAGGCCACCTGTCCTGGAGGCGTGTGGCCAGGAGCCTTGGCAACCACCTGGCTCATACAGCGAACACGTGAGGGCATCATGTCTGCACCTTGGCTCTGCACAGTTCTACGAGAAAGGAATTACCTTGAACACTTTAAAATCAACCCCCCCCCAAGCAGAAAATTATATCTGTCTTCCCTTCTGCATCAATTTTCAGTAACAACTCCCCGATGTAAGGTCCTGCAGGGACAGAAGGAATCCCGCATCCATCTAAAAGTCCCCGTACCAACCCCCTTCCATGAAATGGTCTGCGTTAGCTGGCAAAATATTCTCTGGTTCCCTTCCCTACTCTATCTCAATAAATGTGCTCGCTACTAAAGCAGGGAAACACCGAAGCTGGAGGAAGCTTCGTCTTTGAGACAGGGTTTCTCTATGCAGCCCAGGATAACCTCGAATCATCCTCCGGCCCCAGACTCCTGAATCCTGGGATTAGAGGCCTGGACCATCACGCCCGACCAGCATAGAAATTCTTTTTCTTCTAGAAGTCAAAAGCCTTCAGCTTGCCCAAATGAACACAGTTCTCTTCCTCACCATCTCTTATCACAAATACAGAAAATGCTTCTGTCTTTGACCCCCCCCCCTGCCTGCAGAGAATAACATCTGGTGTCACTCTGTAGACCACAGAGCCTGGGGCCCGGCCCCAAATCTTGTCATTCTGTTCCTGAGCTCCCTGTTCTGTAGAGACAGGCACACTGGAAAAAACATGGTACCTCTTGCCCAGATTATCTACCCAAAGGCACCCAGGAAAGACAGAGTCCCTCCCATGAGCTCAGTGAAAGAAGGTTCAGGAAGCTCTCGGGGACCCATAGGCTGCACACTACCCCGCAGTGTAGGTTCCCAGTCTGCACAGCCGCAAGGGCAAACCACTGTTCTGTGAGGACGCTGCTTCCTCCATCTCTTGGGGAAACAAGACTCCTGGCGTACATTTTTCTTACCCGTAAAGGCTCACTGAGGTTCTCAAGCAAGTGCTGTAATATTCGTGAAGTTAAATTCTCTTCAATTAAAAAAAGTACATCCGTGGTATAGTTGTTTTCTAATTAGAGCATATGCCACTCTGAGGAAAACTCGAGTAGCATTAATAAATGTTTGATGTACCAGAGTGAACATTACAGTTTTATGTCTAAAATGTCAATGGCGGGAAGGGGGAGGGGTGGAGAAGGAGGGAGGGAGGGAATGTGGGCGCGCATACACACACACACACACACACACACACACACATACACACTCATGATCTCTGAGTGAAGGAAAAGGGTGAATAGGGTTTTAAGGATAATTTACACAGTCCTGAATACAACACCACTGACAGGATGAACAACCCAGGATCCATCTCCCTTTTCACAGCGATGGGATGCTCGCCTTGCCACAGGGATGCCCCAGCACTCCAGGCTGTCTCAAGAGTCTCTAAGCCTGCCTGTATGACTGTCTTCTTTCCTCTTCACCGGTCTCCGAAGCCTTAGAGTTACTCCCTGCCATCCAGCAGGCTCGAAAACCTCTGGAGAGGGGTTTCTGCTTTCGATTTGAGGGGTCGCTATGCTGTTTCACAACAATAAAAGGGGGGGGCGCTCTGTAACAGTGGTATTGGAGCCGGGAGGCAGCAGGCTCCATTAACATTCTCCTCTTAAGCAGGGTTGAATTAAATTCTCTTTGGATTTTCCACTTCCAACTCTGTCAACAATGCCATGGGTACCACACGGAAACCTGACCCTCCCTCAGACAGAGGACTCTGAGGTAGTGGGAAACCCATCTTGTAACGAAGGCTCTGGGGCTTCATGCTCTCGCCAAGACCTTCAGAGTTGGCAGTGACCGAATGGCAGCAAAGCCTGCGTGGTTTGGGCAAGCCTCCACCAGAGCTCCATGTGCTTTCAAAGGCCCGATTCCCACTAGGCATTATAAGAGGACGTGGGGTATTTAGGAGGGGGGACTGGCGGGATTCCTTAAGCAGCTCCCAGCTGGAAGGGGGCTGGGACTTGGTCCTCTTTTTCTCTTTGTCCCTGGTTGAAACTTTAGCTGCTCTGCCCTGTCAATCCCCAGTGTTGCACCTCACCACAGGCCCTGCCAAGGAGGCCAGTCAGTCAGACCGGAAGCTTCAGAGGTAGTCGCCAAAATAAACCATTTTTTCCTCCATGAGCTCATCACCTCAGGTCTTCAGTTATATATAGCAATGCAATGCTGGCCAACGCAGGCCACCGTAACGAAACACCACAGAACGGGGAATTCAGGCAGCAGACACTGCCTCACGATTCTGGGGCTGGAAGTCTAAGATCAAGATCAAACAACAGCTAGCTGGGCTCTCTGGTGAGAGCCTCCCTCCTTCCTACCTGGGAGAGGACCACCCTTGTCCTGTGACCTCACGGGGCACACAGACAATACAAGTTCTCTGTGCCTCTTGTAAGGGCACTGATAGCATCAGGGACAACTCCCCCCACACACACACACTTCTTCACTTCATCCAAAAGTAATACCTCTCAAAAGCTGCATCACCAAATGCCTTGACATGGTGGGGGGTTGGGGGGCTGCGGCTTCAAAAGATTAAGTGGGGACTGGGTTACACAATTCGGTTCTTAGAAGTAGGCAACTGAGTCACAGTAGCTGGCTACACACCCAACGAGCAGGCGAGGCGGTCTCTCTTCTGGTTCAAGGTTGTGCCGTGCAATTGGCTCTGCCTAGCGCGGCGCAAGCAGGAGACAGCAGCACGCACGCATAGGGTCGGGTGCTACAGCTTGCCATCTTGCTCCCAGGACTCTTCAGGCAAGAGTGAAGTCCTGTACATAGCATGCCCTGCTTCGTGTCCTTTCTGATTCTCCAGGGCCATCTGTCACCACCTCTCCCAGACAGGCACAGGGTCCCTGCCTCTACACAGACAGAGCTTCGGCCATGGGAAAGGGGGAAGGAAGCCTCCCTGAGGCGCAGGGCCCTTTATCTCAGTCACAGGCGGGGAGATGGATGCAGTGTCAGCAAGTTAAGTAGGAATTCCTTTCCCTGGCCGAGCAACCGGGCAAAAAGGGCAAGAACAAAACCCAACCTTTCTCAGCCCATACTTTCATCTCCTCACCGATAACCGACTCACTCCTGTGTCAGAGTTAGCAAGAAGCGACAGAAGAGCCCGCTTCTACACACCTTCTCCACCCGGAGATTCCCACTTCATCCTGTGGCAACACAATCCTGTCGGTCCCCTAAGAGCCTGACCTCAAGGAGCAAACTGCCACCCGCTCCCCAACCTACCAACTCCACATCCCCTTTGGTCACCTCCCTGTCACCACAGAGACACCCTGGAAAGGTCTGGCGGTATCTGGGGCTCCCACATTTTTCCCCCAGCTGTCCCAAGACTGTCCTTTCTGATGGAGGAGGGGACAGGGAAGGGGTGAGCGGGGTGGCGGGTGTAATGGAGGGAGGGAGGAGGTGAGGGAGCACGGGGCCTCCGTGGGGAACACACTGGAGGAAAGTCAAAGTGTGAGCTTGCATGGGAACAGCACCCCAGCAGAGGAAGGACAGGCGGGAAGATGGGAGAGAAACCAAGCCGTGGGTGAGGGACCAGGCAGGCGCAAAGAGGCGGGAGAGGTGGGCAGCGGCACACGGATCTGTCTGTTTCTGTTTTGGTGAGGATATGGTGGTGTGTGTGTGTGTGGTGCACGTGCACATGCATGTGCACGTTTCTTTGTTTGGTGTGTGTATGTGGTGTGTTAGTATGTGATGTGCATGTAAGTACACCCGTGTGCCTGTGTGTTTGTTTGGTTTGGGGGGGGTGTATGTGTGTACATGTGCACATGTGTTTGTTTGGTTTTGGGTGTGTGTGTGTGTGTGTGTGTGTGTGTGTGTGTGCGCGCGCGCGTGCACATGTGTCTGTTTGCTTTGGTCTGTGGTATAGGTGAATGATGAACCTAGAACCTACCATATACTAGGCCAGGATTTCTCTGCTAACTTCATTTCCACCCATTTTCTCCTTTTGATTTTGAGACAAAGTCTTACTCAGTTGACCAGGGAGCCCTAAACTCAATCTATGGCCCAGGTCCGCCTTGAGCGTGTGACCCTCCTCCCTGGGCCTCCCAGGTAGCTGCGATTTCAGACCTGTGCTTTATGGAAGGGTTTTACATAGAACACGGGTGGTTCACGGAACACAGTGCAGGTCTGTGAAGGCTGGACTTGGCTTTCTGCCTTTCCCTGCTTCCCAGAGAAATGTTTGTAAATGACGTATGGAAAGTTTATGAAGAAAAGTCTGGAAAGAGGAAAGGAAAGCTGGGCTCCCAGAATCCTGGATGATCTAATCCACGGCACCCACTATGTACATCAGATAGTGAGAAACTATTTCACAAAAGGGGGGCGTGGGGACCTCAGGGGGAACGCCGACTTTTACAAGCTGGATAACTCACATCGACCAGACATCGATTTTGGGGCCGTATTTCTTCCTGGCGAGCAGCTCTGGGGCAGCGTAGGCTGGGCTGCCACACTGTGTGCTGAATGGGTCCGAGTAACCCAGGATCCCGGCACAGTTGCTCAAACCAAAGTCTGTAGGGAGAAGACAAAAAGAACTCTGAATTAGAAAACTACAAAAATGAGGAGGGAAAAGAAGGTAGGGAGGAGGAGAGGAAACATTCTCTCAGGCTGACACATAATTGCGCATCCAACAGGAAACCCGCCAGCTGCAAACCATAACCCCTGACAGACTCCTCAAGACAAAGGCGTGCCTGCCGGGTGGTGGCTCAGAGGAACGCCTTACATCAGCCCTCACTGCACAGCTAGACCTAACTGTGTGATGAGCCAAAACATATTTCCACCGAGCCTTGTAAATGAGTCATCCAGGGTGAAGAGAGACTGTTAGCTTTCTAGGACTGAGGCATGCTGACATCCTGGCTGCCCGGTGGCCGGCCTGGGAGAAACTGAATGGAGACTGATTTTCTCCGCTGGCCGCCTGCATCGCTGGCCACTTACAGTTGACTTCCTCAACTCAGTTTCTCCCAGTAAAGTCCCTAAGAAATTCCTTCCAGGGGCCCATACTGTAATTTGGAGGGCGAGGGGACAATGTAGACAGCCCTGTATGTCTGCTGGGAAAAGACTGCCCAGCAGGCCGGCGGTGCCAGCTAGATTAAGTGATCTCATGGCATTGCTTTGTCCTTAGATGGGGAAGGCATCTGGCAGGAAAGCCCCAAGTGCTTCACAGCTACTTTGGGTCTATTAGGAGTGTTGTGAACTGTTTACTTTTGATCTGAAAGATAACTGCCACTGGAGGGTAATCGGGGAGCTGCTGGCGCCCTCCCCTCCTCTGGTATCGCTCTGTTGACCTCATGAGATCCCCGGCCATCCTTTGAACTCCATTACAAATAGCTGAGTGAGTTCCGAACCCACAGCCAAAAGACTCCCAAGCTTCAGGGCAAGGCAGAGAGAGATTGGCTCTGAGGAGGCCGGGGCCACGCCCCATACCTCCTGCACTGGCTCTAGTCCCTTGCATTTCTGTCTTTCTCTCTGCTCAAGCATGTCTCCACCTGCAAGTGCCTGCCCACCACAAAAGCCCCAGGAAAGAAAGGGCTTAGGGAAGGGCAAAGAGCACAGGGGGAACTAGGAGAGGGTGAAGCCGCCCGCCCGCCCGCCCGCACGCCGGCCCTGGGTCTCGATGACGACACTGGAGAGCTCCCTAACACTTGCTACAGTGAGCTGTGAACTGAACAGCTTATCCACAGAGAACCCTACCAACGCTTTCAGGCAGGCCGAGCCCTCAGCTGGGGCTCCCGAGGAAGAGGCAGAGCCTCCATTAGGGACCTGGCCAAGCGACCTCCAGGAAGGCTGCTTCAGCACTGACCTTTCTCTTGGTTTTGATTGCTTTTCGCTTGTTTGTTTGTTTTTCGCTTGCCACCCCCCTCCTGTTTCCCACCTTTACCCTCTACCTGTCCGTTTCCTTTCCGTTTGGTCCAGTTTGCCCCACCGGGTACCACAAGACCGGAAGGAAAGGCCTTTGTGGACTGCACGGATGGCCAGCCTCCCATCTGAGAAAGCATCTTTTGCAGAGATGGTGAGGGGCCGTTCCCAGATCCAGTACGCACTGCGGCACACCAGCTGCTCGGGGTGGGGTGGGGAGCACTAACAGGAGGAAACTACCATGAGTCGCGGCGTAAGAACACCTACTGTCGAGTCTGCGGTGGGGAGCACTGACAGGAGGAAACTACCATGAGTCGCGTAAGAACACCTACTGTCGAGTCTGCGGTGGGGAGCACTAACAGGAGGAAACTACCATGAGTCGCGTAAGAACACCTACTGTCGAGTCTGCGGTGGGGAGCACTGACAGGAGGAAACTACCATGAGTCGCGTAAGAACACCTACTGTCGAGTCTGCAGACCGCACCATGGAATAAAGATGGAAGTGCCAGGGGTCAAAGGGCAAAGTCACCACTCCTCCGGTCAAAACGGGCTCTGTTAAAGCAAAGGGCGACCTCTCCTCCCTTCCCCTCATCTGGTCCATCAAGAAGATCAAGATAAGAGGCCAGCTCGCCCTCCACTGTCCCAGGCAAGCAAGGAACAACCGAGCCCGGCCTTATCCCAAGCTAGATTAGTTCAGGATTTGGGAAGTGGAGGGGTGCAGAGCCTGCATCTAGCCAAGAAGACTTGATTTTAAAGACGTTGTATAGAAGTAAAGGGCAGAACATTTCACATTCGTAATTATGGTTATTAAAATTTTACACGTATGCCTATAATTAGAACGGTGAAACCAGAGAGAAATTTGCCTCCCAGTAATGTCAGATAGGTCGGCCTCAATTAGATTTGGTAAATACATAAGCTAATTATCACTCAGTTTTCTGAGAGCTGCAAAATGGAATCTCAAAAGAAAGTCCCAGTGAATATTCACAGCTCCTCTAAGCTGTAGCTGTCCACCCTGGGGAGGGAACACCCTTGCAAACATCCGCTGCCTTCTTTTTTTTTTTTCCTTCTTCTTTCTTCTAAGAAGAAAAATACAAGATTGAATCAAAAACCTTACTCCTAATAATTCTAGCTAATTTGAAACAAGGCTGAAGTAAGTTTACTTAAACCAAACGATTTCAAAAACAAGGAAGCTATTAAGAAGAAATGATAATAACAGCTCTATAATCCTCTTTGAAAAAAAAAAAACACCTAAGTAAACCCTTTGAAGACAAGAGGTTCAAAGGGCTTTCCAGTTGACATAGTAATAACAAAGGTTAGGAAAGACCTTTGGTCCACACTGCCTATCCTAGGGGGAAGAGAACAAGACACCAGGCAAGCTGGCAGAATGGCTAGTATAATGTGTCTGTCATTTACAGTATCATTTAGGACAGGAGAGGAAGAGACCCAGGGACAGGAGGCTCCTTCCTCAGAATTTTGTGTATCTGGCTTTTCATACCAGGCCACTTCCCAATAGGTCTGGCCCATCCTTTACTAGCAGCTTCAGTTTGGCCTGGCGATGTCTCTATATGTTAACGTTTGGACTGGAGACGTTTCCACGCACAGCGAACTATAACCTGTTGTGACAGGTAAACAGACTGCAACCTCCTCCCACCACAAGGAGCTGAGCCTCAAGGGGTCAGCTGCTGAAGCCAAGCTCGGACAAGTCCGCTCTGAACTATAGCCAACAGGCTGCTCTGTGCCCCAACAGGCTGCTCTGTGCCTCGCTCCTGTCTCGTTTCCTCTACATCCCTTCTCTTCGCTATGAACACAGCACATGTGTGGAGGCAGGCAGGATATTCTGAACCGTTTATGGGCAGGACTGTTGCCCACTGCTAGAATCCCACAAGCAAATTTGGTCTGAGCAGCTAGTTGTAATTTGTCTTTTTAGTTGATGACTTGAAATACCCGCCTAGATGTTAATCCCATGGCTACCAGCCAAGAGGTGAGAACCCAAGAGAGAGAACAAAACAGCTCGGGATCTCTAAAAGCAACTCAGTGAGACGGGAATTCCAGGCCCTCGCGTAGGTTTACCTTCTCCTCGGACTGCTTGTGGTGGCTTGAGAGAAAATGGTCCCCAAAGGGACTGGCACTGTTAGGAGGTGTGGCCTTGCTGGAGTGGGTGTGGCGGGCTTTGAGGGCTCATATATGCTCAAGCCACACCCACAGCCTCAGACCACTTCCTGTTGCCTTCAGTCAAGATGCAAGAACTCTGCTCCCTCTCCAGCACCGTGTCTGCACGCCCCCTTGCTTCCCACCATGATGATAATGGACTGAACCTCTGAATCGCAAGTCACCACAATCCAAAGTTTTCCCTTTATAAGAGTTGCCATGGTCATGGTGTCTCTTCACAGCGACAGACACGGCCTGTGTAAGCTCCCTCTGGGAGAGTTTATTCCTCAGCCAGTCTCTGGCTGCTTAGAAAAACACCTACTATTTCAGCGAGTAATTCTCAGCACTGTGGATGCCGCAGCAGAGAGGCTGCTGGCCTAGCTAGCATGACCACGATTGGTTCCTCCGAGGAAACGCCTCATCAATAAAGAGGCCTGCCTTTTGCAGTGTTGCTTGTTCAACAGAGCAGGTCTGTAAGTGGTCATCGAGGGCTACAGCTTAACAGAAGACACCAAGTTAGGGGTGAGGGGAAGACAATGTGGACAATGCCCTGACAGGACCTGGAGACTCTCCACAGACAGGGTGATTGATTAGCTTGACTCAGTGGCCTCGGGAGCTTTTACGGTGATATCAATCCGGCCCTCACCAAGCTTGTTCTCTCAGAGTGTCTGAAGTTAAGACAACTCCGTCATTGCCACCTGTACACTCTCCAAAAGGCGAATTACACCTTAGCCACGGATGAGTGGAGTCGCCTTCCCTCTCGCCCTTATCCTTTTCTTAAAGGCCAGAAACCCCAGGGTTGGGCCAGGACACATCCTGTAGGCCTTCCAGCAGCACCCCACTCTCTGCTCCTGTGTCTGTCCCTCGGGGCGGCCACGGCGAAGCAATCCAACAAACAGAAAACCAACGGTTTGCTCCAAGAACCTCCACAAATAGGGCCCTTACAGGGCTTTTTTATTTTGGGGATGGGGGGGGGGTTGGTTTCCTCAGAGCTGTTTTCCACTAATCAGTCGCCCAGGGAAGAGGGCTGGAGTCCCTCGGCCCCAGCACCGGTGGGAACTGAGTGCGATCCAGGATGTCTTTTCAAGCCATCTAAGCAGAAGAAATCACTTGCATGTGAAGTAGGAAAAGAAGGAAAAGTGAGAAATGGGAGATGGCACTGGCTGCCTCACAGCTGGGTGAGAGAGAGAGAGAGAGAGAGAGAGAGAGAGAGAGAGAGAGAGAGAGAGAGACCCAGTTCTTCCTGGACGGCCGTGGGGAATTAATTCACGTAGGACGCTGAATTATGAACCAGTCACACAGCCCCATCCTCTGATACCCGGCTTCCCTCCCTGAGCCCAGGCCCCCATCCCTCTGAGGCCCCTCTCTCACTGCACCCGATGGGCCGGCTGCGGTTTGCATGACATTACACTGGAACGGGAAAGACCCTGTCACTGTCCCTTGCCTGGGGCACCCTCAGACACTTGGCAAATGGAATAAGATGTGAAAAAGCTACAGGCAATGATGAGCCAAACTGTTTTCTACTCCCAGTTACACATGTTCTTGCTAATTCACACTGGGGGAAAAAAAAACAAAAAACAAAAAACAGATGCTATCGAGGTTGAGGATTGTCTGAACTTAAGTCGCTGAAGATGGCTCCGCGGTTATGAGCACCGGCTGCTCTTGCAGAGGACCCGGGATCAGTTCCCAGCAACACATCATCCCAGCAATCACAATCATCCATAACTCCAGTTCCAAGGGACCCAATGCCCTCTTCTGGCCTCCATGGACACCAGGTACACATGAGGTGCACAGATGTACAGGCAAGCAGCACACACACACTTAAAAAAATATCCAGGAGGGAGGGAGGGGGAGGGGGAGGGGGAAGAACCATCTGAATTTAATTACACTTTGAGGAGCTCAGGAGATGGCTCAGTTGTTAAGTGTTTGCCTTGAGAACAAAGGGACCTGCGTTTGGTTTGTGTTGCCAGCGCACAAGGTCACGGTATCACGTATCTGCAGTCCTACTGCTCAGGAGGCACAGAGGGCCAGGAGGGGCCCAGTGCTCCCTGACCTCACACCTATCCAGATGGGTGAGGTCTGAGTTCAGTGAGACCCTGACCTCCACCCGCCATTCCTGTGTACACACGTACATGAGAATGGGCATACACGCACACACACATCAAACATGTGCCGAGGCATGCACAAGAAACTTACAAAGTCCGGAAGAAATTCGTGACCAACAAATGTTTACTGGGGATTATAAAATTCATTTCACAGTCAAGTGACACCGTTTTTAGTCTTCCTAATATTTTAAATTATTATTTAAATAAACCATTAAATTAATTTTCATCGTGTCGTCAAAACTATTATTAAACACTAGAAGTACAAGGAGTAATATAGAAATCTTGTCTATATCTGACCATGGACAACTTAAGAGGTAAGCATGGTTTAAAAGAACAAGAAAAAAGGTCATACCGATCAGCTTGATGTTATTGTCTTCATCCAGTAGCAAATTTTCTATCTTCAAGTCTCTGAAATACACAAAGCCACACATTTCAGAGAAACACTTGGAAGGGTAGAACGGCATTTCGCTCCTGAAAGGAAGTGAACACTTTTAGAGACACTTTGAACCCATCCTCACCATTTCTGCTGAGCTGGTCATTAAGTAAATATCTGTGAGACGGGACATAATTAATTGTCATCCAATACAAAAAAAAAAAAAAAGCTAAAGCATTTCAGGGGACAGGGAGTGAAATGGGGGGGCAGATGAGATTTATGTTGAGTGTCTAGAAGCGGACCTAAAATCTGAAAATTAAACATAAAGGTAAAATAAATAAATAAGTGAATAAAAACAGGGACACAGAATTCCACACAGAATATGAATTCCCGGGCAGGCGGGGGGGGGGGGGCTGTGGCACTGTGAACAACATCAATCAAAGTCGCCAATGGATTTGGGGAAGCACTTAAACAAAATAGGGCCAGGAGGGCAAAGGGGGTAAAGGCGCTTGCTGCCAAGCCTGACCCCCCAGAACCCACGTGGTAGGAGAAGGGACTGGACTCCTACAAGATTGTCCCTTCCCCCTCCAGACATGCCATGGTCCGCCCTCCCCCGCCTCACGTCAATAAAGTAAGCATCGATAAAACAAATAAAAATCGAAGGCTGACTTCATCAATCCGCTCCGCAGCCTCCGCAGCCTCTGCAGGCCTCCGCGCTTAGCTCCTAAGTGTCACAGCACATTGGCAGAAGACAATACTTTAATCTGTCACAGGCAGCACAATGGGGCCCACAGATGTCCCAGTCCCTGGGGGTCGTACCCGAGTGGGTGATACCCTGACTTGGGGAAGGGGATTGAGTGTGGAAGGAAGGACGCTCCTGGGTAGCAGGCAATGCCACTCACGCAGGACACCAAAAGCAGGTGGCGCCCTCTGAGTGGGAGGCTTCCGCTTGTGCTAGCTGACTGCGAGGTCCTACTGGGAAGGGGACAGGCCTGCCTTTCTCTCCAGTGTACGAGAGAACCCCTGTACATTATTACAGGCAGTCAGTAACTAACACAGAGTAAAGCTAGGTTACCAAAAAGTCTGGAGCTGTGGCAACCGATAACATATATATATACACACACACACATATACATATATATATATATATATATATATGCATATGCATACATACATATACATAGCTCAGAAACATCTTTCTCAACACGGAAATTCCGGAACATTACATTGCACCTATCGACTCAGACATACACTGGATATTAATTAAGAATACTTTTCTAAGGGCTGGAGAGATGGCCTAGCAGTTAACAGCACTTGCTGCTCTTGTAAGGGAGCCAGGTTCAGTTCCTAGCACCCACATGGTGACTAACAACTCTCTGTAACTCCAGTTCCAAGAGATCTGATCCCTTCTGGCCTCCTAAGGCTCTGTGAGTACACACACATGATGCATATCTATACATACAGGCAAAATACTCATACACACAAAAAATTTTTTTAATTCTTTTTTAAATAAAACTTTTCCATAAATGTACACATACACACATTTATATACATCTGCTATGGTTGGCCCCGATTTAATTTTTCTACACTGGAATAGAGAAGTCAGAAAATAAGTACTCTTTTTCTTATGCCCACTCTGGGGACTGTGCAAGAGACAAAAATGACGACTGACACCTTACACCGATGTCTGTAAACAGATGGGCATCATCAAACAGAAGAGTGATGTCCCACTTCACAGCGACAGTTTCTAGAGCACAGTCCCCATGCTGCCGGACGGTCCATTTTGCAAAAATCCAGAACTCTTGATTGTTCTCAATTTTTAAACACGAGCAACAAACCTGCATGTAAGATAACAATAACACCACTCTATGCAGGCCAAGCTTGAGGCGGGATCTGGCCCGCCAGTAAGCAGTTCTCCACTCCATATGGAGTAAGAGATGAAGCCAGGAAGATATGGGACTGGCTGCCCAGGGACGGGGCAGAACACTGAAGAAAAAAAATCAAATCAGTGTGCATGAGACCCCCGAGGAGCCGGATGACGGCTTCCTTGGAACAACCATGGGTGAATTTTGGAATGGGAAGAATCAAGAAGTCAAATGTGAGTGGGGGGTAGGGAGTAGGGATATGGGGGGGATGTCTGGTGGTTTCAAAACCGGAGGGCTGTGAATTTTGGAATGGGAAGAATCAAGAAGTCAAATGTGAGTGGGGGGTGGGGATGGGGAGTAGGGATATGGGGGGGATGTCTGGTGGTTTCAAAACCGGAGGGCTGCTGGGAGCCTTGGGGCCTGACATGTGGATGAGGGGCATGTTGACACCAAGTTCAAGGCTATAAAATATACTGTCCTCTGAAAGCACACGTAGCTGGGGGAGAAGTCAGGGTACCTTCAGCTCAAGCCACACAGTCCACTTGGAAACCGCTATTAAGGTCACCCTAAATATAAGGCAGCCCCACCTGCTCTCCCGGTGGGTAAACTTGCCCCTTTGCATCAGTGTTTCAGAGAACGCACAATAAGAATGTTCAGGAATGTGCTGGGACCTCCGAGTCACTCTGGTTAGTATTCAGCTGTGAGGTCACACTGTCACATCAGACTACAATGTTACATGAAGTTCATGCTCGGAGACCACAAAAGCAAAAGATGATCGACTTAGATGTTCACACAAGTCACTGTGTGGCTCTAGCTGGCCTGGACTCACTCACAGAAATCTGCCTGCCTCTGCCTCCCGAGTTCTGGGAGTAGAGGTGTGTGCCGCCACCTGGCCCTAACTTGAGAACTGCGTGCACACACCCCCCCCCTCACTTCTCAGGAAACAGTGTCACAGCCATTTGTCACCTCAGAACCAAAGGTTCTCTGGGTTCCCACTGCGGCAGCTAACCCTTCTGAACTAGACCTCTTCAATGAACAACCTGTTTTCCTCTGCTGCTGGGTCTTATCCTAGGTCCTTGCACACTCTAGCAAACACTCTCCCACGAGCTATATGACTACCTTCCGTATACATTTGTATCTGTGTCTGTCAGTACTTTGCTTGGAACCCTAAACCGTAAGCGCCCACTTAAAATCCCCATAAGTTAACCACTCATCGGGTTGTTTTCTGCGTAGTCTCTCAAGCGTCACAACTGGGAGCTGTTCTTGCAGTCGTTGCGATGCGTTATGTCCACCGTCTTCATTGCCCCTTCTGCCAGATGGATGATGGATGGCTAGAACCCTGGAGTCACCAGTGACTCCAACCAAACTTCTCTAACTGCAGCTTGGTTGGTGAAAATGTTAACAGTTTCCACTGTGTCACCGTGATGGGAGATTTCCAGGGAGTCTCTGTAAGGGATGGGTTCTTTCCCAGAGAAAATTAAGACTGTACATGAGCCGGACTTTTACTCAAGCATTTACGGTAATTCCAACGCGCAGACAAACGCCAGTGTGCCAGGAACAGCCCAGAGTGTGATTCATCGAAGACTGGTTACATTGTTTCAGTTGAAGGCAAAGACACAGTGAAATTAAGCCTCCTTGCCCAAAGGAAACCACAGTCAGTCATTAACGGGGAAAAAGTGTTCAGAACACTGCACAAAAGAACAGCTTATAGAGTCGAGAGAAAAAAGAAAGAAAGTAATTGATAAGAATAATACATTGAAGCTGAGTAATTTTGGGCATGAATGCCCAGAGAAAAACAGCAATGATTAGAGCAAGCACAGAAAAGAAACTCTGAAAGAAAAAAAAATAGCTACAAATAAATAAATAAAATAACAGGGAAAGTATAAAATATAATTACTTGATAAAAGGGGAATAAAACCAGCTCAAGCCTCTATCCACCCACGCACTACTCTCCTGAAGTGGTCAACCCCAGCCACCAGGAGAAATGGACAGAAGAAGCCTCGGTAGTAAGGCGTCCACTGTTCTAGACATTCCAGCTGGAACAGTTTCACTACCAGGATGGCCCAAGGCTAGCAGTGGGGACAGGAAGAAGTCCCTGGGTGCTAAATGACCTTGATTGCTGAGGTGGCAGAAGCATTAACCCTTGGGACATTAATCCCACTTCCTGCTTTGAAGAGAGAGTGCTTCCCTGCAGTCTCCCACGTCCAAATCTGGGGCAGGCATTTTTTTTGTTTGCTTTAAGATGAGGTGGAGTGAGGGTTAAGGAATGGGAAGGTGTCTTGCTGGGTAGCTCGGTCTGACCTTGAACTTGTGGCAATGCTCCTGCCTCAGCTGCCCAAGGGTGGGGTAAGCATGCACCATCACCCCTGCCTTAATGTCCAGTTTTCCAATGTTGCGTTTTCCTGGTCACGGGACACATGAGCTCTCCAGCTTAGATTGAAAATGTATGGGAGGAGAAAGACTTCCTGTGGGGAGAGGTCCAACACTTTTTCCTCATTGCTGAACGGCAGGCTGACAGCACGGTGTTTGCTTGGCTTAGCTATTACAAGCAGTCTAGAGATGTCCAAGGGTTAATGCAAACACGAGACGGGTCATTTCACATCAGAGACTGGGTTATCTGAAAGATGGGATGTGAGGGGTTGGGGTGGTGGGGATGAAATGGCTCTTTGTGGGTCCAGGATATCATAGATCTGTCAGGGCCCACAGAAATGTACAATGCAGTGAAATTTAATGTCAACTCCAGTCCTCAGTTAATGTCATTGTCTGCGTTCTCGTTAACCACCTAAAACAAGAAAGCAGGGAAAGAAAAAGTGGATAGAGACCCTGGGGTTTCTGTACAATTTCTCTACAAACTAAGTCTATAAACCTTTCAAAGTAGCCTCTCTGCTTCCCCTTCCTAGAGTTAAGAACTTGCTAGGCCTTCCCGGGGTGTTCATTGAGGGGCGCCTTTCATTACCTTAAGTTAGTATCCAAGTTCGCTCTGCACAGCAGACCACTCAGATACTCACCCATAACTAAAAAGCCACAAATGATGCTGAAAAAAAAATCACAAAATTAAGCCACCTCCTTGAGAAAAAAAAGGGGGGAGGGGATAAATGTACTCATGAGTTTCTGAGTTTGTACTCTATCCTTTAAAATTTTACCACCATTGCCCAGAAAACCAGTTCCAT